ATTCAATCACTTGTATGCCAGTTGACTTGCGCTATTATGTTAAGCTTATTGAACCAAATCTCAAGATTTACATTTTTCCGAAGATAATTTTTCAAGGAACTGGTAAATTACACAAGCTGGAAGATCTATAAGTCGAGGATGATTGTACCATTACATGAAAGCATACCAATATCTTTCAGGCATTGTAAAAGTGCATGCCATGCTAGATAGCATGTCCACGCACCAATCAGTACACTACAGATAAAAATTTTGTTTAGTCATGTGTTTGCACCTCTATCACAGGTTTGCATGGCATGTACTGTTATCTTTCTAGCATGGGACTTGACAATACAGCTGCTTGGTATGACAATCTTTGCAACAAATTACTGGGCGCTGAATTTTTTCAATTTGAAAACTTCCATATTGATGCAAGAGTAAACAGAAGTTACATATGATGAAAGATGCATATGGGATTATTTCCTCTGGGCATCACTTTTTTACTTTCTAGCTAAATTTTACAGCTTATTTCCAATAAGAATTTCCCTATGGGCTTGTAAAATCAACCTACTGGTATTTTCAAAGTTCAGCTGTGACTAGCATCTTATACTTACTTGTCCAATATTGTATGTGAAAGCATTCAAGAGAGCTGCAGCAAGATCCTCTGCTTTGTAATCCGAAAGCTTGTTTGAAGTTACTTTCCCGAAGCTAGATGCAGTTGTTGATGCTGGAAGACCATGCTATGATTTTATAAGAAAAAGTGAGTTACAATGGATAAACGTGATAAGAGAAAAGAACAAATGATTGATGCACCACATAAACTTGCTAGGTTTGGTTCATAACATATACATCTGTAAAATTAAAAAGAACCTGCAAAAGTGCTGTAAAACAGAAGTTTCTTTGTGATTGATTCCAATGCGTCATTGTTGTCATGTAGTCTAGAACAACCACTTTTGCTTACTTATGAACTTAAAAACAAGGACTAATGTTAGCCTCTAAGGTGAATTGGATACCAACAATAAGGACCATCATAAGCTAATAATGATCAATATAGGTTGTAGAAGAGCACAATCCCATAAGCTTTTAGCTTTTCCATAATCTCACACTATTTGGGTAGGATTCTTGAAAATCATTTGACAAAATGAAGGCTGTCACAGTTGAAGAGTTTAGTGTTTCAAGGAAGGATCCTCTTTTCAGTTGTTCAATGGAAAATAGTGAAAAATAGGGATATAGGCATGAATTCTGTTATTAATATTTTAGAGATTTATGTGGAGCGGACATCACTAATTGGGTTTGGCTAAAAGATCAGATGGAATTTACGTTAGTGGACATCACTAACAGTTTGGCCTTTGAACCTAGTCTTCTCCCTGTTCCACCCTTTAATGTAATATGTTTTTGGAGCATTGAAGAAAGAATTTAATTAAGGAAAAGAACATTGAGATTAACTTTTGATATATTTCCTTTGAAGTACTCGGAATGCCATTGCTCCTAGGTTTTCATCCTATGCATTTTAAGTATAACATATTATTTAACAAGAGAATCTCCCAGGGGAAAGAAAAAAACAAACAGAACAAAAAAAAACAAAAAGTTTGGACATAGAAAGAAGGGGCAAATGAGATTCAATTAGTAAAAGAAGAAGAAGAAACAAATTCCTATCAAGAAGATATGGCAGTCATAATTCCCAACAAAACATGATATCAGGGTCATCAATTAAAATCGAGGATGGACAAAGTACAACATGATTAAATTGAAAAGCTAATGATATCTTATACTACTGTAGGATGAGCTTTAGTTAGGTGTCTAAAAAATTCACAAAGTAGGTTGGGCAATTGAAACTCAACATCAGTCTCAAAAAAGAAAAAAATCAAAATTTTCATAATCACATTTTATTTAATGAGAGAGCCTCTCAGTGAAAGGAAAAGAAATATCAAAAGTTTAGAGACAGAATGAACAGGCAAAAGAAACTCAATATCACAGTGTTGCAAAAGATATAAAACAAATTCCCATCAAAACAAAATGACATTCAGGTTAAACTATGTTTTTGGGACCATTAATTTAAGTTAGGGGTGGCCAAAACAAAATATGATTTGATTGAAAAGCTGCTAGGTTTCTATCCCATTCTAGGGTGAGGTTATCCTGGGTGCCAAAAAAGGTTAATAGAATAGTAATATGAAGACACTATCTGTCACGACCCAAGCCTGATGGGCTAACTAGGCTATCAACTTCGTTTGGTCTAAACCACTAACTAAAATGCTTAAGCTGAAATTTATAGTAGTACACTCATCAGACCCTTATAAGTCAATTTTAATCTTACCTACTTTCGATGTGGGACTAATCAGAGGTGTTACAATCACCCCCACTCAAAGGCTTGACGTCCTCGTCAAGGCCCAACATAATCTAGATCAGGCCCTAGCATAGTGCATGTGAAGCGTAGCCCTGTGGTGGCTCCATGCCGTGACGAGTCCTCTAACTCCGTCTACGGGTAGCCCTTTCCTACTCGGACCCCTCACCGACCAAATGCTAGGTCGGCTCTGATACCAAATGTCACGACTCGAGCCCTAGCCTATCAACTTCGTTTGGTCTAAACCACTGATCAAAATGCTTAAGCTGAAGTTTATAGTAGTACACTCATCAGACCTTTATAAGCCAATCTTAATCTTGTCCACTTTCGATGTGGGACTAATCAGGGGTGTTACACTATCATCTCTTAAATTTAAACAAGCATCTCTAAAATTTCATCAAAACCAAGATGAAATGGGAACTAAATGAGAAGAGATATAATTTACCAAGTTCAGAGAAAGAGCTCTATTCTCCATTCAAAATATGAGATAAAAATTACATCATGTTGAAGGAGCTAAAATCAAAATATTAAAATTAGTATGGCAGGCCATGTACCCCATGTAGTAGAAAAATTGGTGATATGGATTAAATAGAGAAAAGAAACATATCATCATCCATTTTTAATCAGATATGAATTTGGTTACTCATAGCAAAGCATAGTAAATGATGCAACCTTATCTGTCTTAAATGGCCTCGAATATGAACTGGATATATAATGGATACAAATTGGAATGGGATTAAAATATGTCTCAAATGAGTCCGCGATAACATTATATAGATAATTAAGAAACTATTCAAAACTATCAATCATTGTTCTCAGATGGGAAAAAAATTAAAGCAAACACAAAAAGCAAAAGAAGCATGCAAAAATAGTACATATAGTGTACATAGACAAACCTATCAAATAACAGCTTTTCTACAATTAATTTGGCTAAATTCAACATTGCAAGGTATATTCATATATTTGGAAACTTGAAGAGGTTGGAACCTGAAGAATATTTGTGCTCATCTCCAAAAAATTTCAGATAGCTATATTCAAATATAGAACAAATGTGACAAAACATGAACTTATGCAACCATTTCCATCTCTAACTGGATATGGAAACAAATCTGGATGAGTATTATCCGACCGAATTTCACCCCTATCTCATATGGTGAAGGTTTACAATATAATTTGAAATACTTGGTATGTGAAAAAAACTGCAGAAAGTCTCAAGAGCTTTTTATTTTCAATTTTTATAGAGCAATTAATTAAGCCACCTGTATTGTTAATATAAGTGATAAAATAATTGATGATGGTCATTATTAGTGATTAATACTGAATCACCTATTTTTCTAGTAGATCATAACTGCTTTATAATGAAGATACTGAGGGAAATATACCTTTGGATAACCCTCCTTTCCATATATGTCCCCAACAGTCAAATCTACTGCTAGATTATTACCTCTCTGGCTAAGCTCCAAGAACTCTTCATAACTGCAGAAAGGAGATAAGGAATACATAAAGGCAAAATAATATAAAGAATGGAACTTTTCAATCAAACGCTACCTTGTACACCCTGTCAACAGTCTTGCAAGGCCAAGTATAGTACCACCTCCCAGATGTGTCCCAATAATACGTTCAAATTTCCATTTCCCGATCACCTGCTTCATGCCTTCGCATTAATTTCTATGTTATAAAGAAAATTTAGTCATCAATAGAAGTTTAAACTATTACTTCATTCATATTAAAGAAGTACCTCAATCATGCTAACACCTGAGCCAACATTGACAAGAAGATATGGAAATATGTTGTGTTCATTGGGGTCAGTTGTCACACTTTCATCAGAATTTGAGGAAGGTTCATGTAAATCTTGATCTTCCTGTCAAAATAGGGACAAAACTAAAATGTAAGAGCATATCTAAGGCTTTCTTTATTTTCTTAAAGTGGAAATGATCAATTATATTTTTTAAGTTTTAACTAATAATATTAGTACCAAACGATTAAGACAACTTAGAAGAGAAATAACATGCAGAACATAACCATTCATTGCTTCAGTTCCGTACGTAAAACATGCTCTATACAAAAAGGGGATAAAAGGACAACATGACCTGACATAATATTATACTCCCAAATCGTAAATCAAAGAGCACCTAGAAGTTATTATGGTCAATGCTCCATGTTTCACATGGCAAGGAATATCTTAAGCAAGGACTATGAGTCAGAAGGCATCATTCACTTGATAACCACATTCAGCTTGATTAATCTAAAGAATCAAGCCCATTGACACAAGCTGTAATTAAGCGAGAATCTTGCTTTGTTTAGCATAATTACCAATAACTAAAGAAATCAGAAAACCAAAAACAAATGAGTCCAGTTTGTTGGAATCAAACAGATTGGTACTGTTAATTGTTCTTGGAAGCAAGATTTGCCGTACCGAAGCATACCGCCCATACCGGGCGGTACGTACCAGTCCGACAGGTTATCGGTACGCATACCGCCCGGTACCGCTACAGTACTATAATATTATACTGTAGCACTGCTATAGTATGAAAAAATAAAAAAATATTCGGTACACCAGGGCGTACCGCTCAATATGCCCTGATGTACTGTTCGATATACCAGTACCGTACCATACCGAGCCCGGGTCGAAACGTCGGTACGGTACGATACAACGAACCTTGTTTGGAAGAATCATAAAATGCACTTGGACTATCTATAACTGAGATAGAAGGGAAAATCAAGAGAACTGAAGTAGAAGCAATTATTGCCTAAAAGTACTATAAAGAGAGCAAAAAAGAAAATAATACAAACAATCTTGATAGTACAACCACATTTCAATCCCTACTTTGTTTATATCTTCAAGGATATTGAAACTTAAACTTTTACAGAAATATTATTCTGCCAAACTACAGAGAGAGGGGGCTCTATCTTCCAAGACATTTTCCAGAACAAACCAGTGCAGTCAAAATAAAGATGTCAACAAATGAACTAACTTAAAGAAACGAGTATAAACTTAAGCATAAGCCAGTTTTCATCAGCCAATGCTAATCTATGACAAACATAATCTAGAGAATATCCACACAAAATGGATATATTTTTAATTTGTAATGAGACTTACTTTATCGTTCAAATGTACATCTACCATTTCAATATCTTCGATACCAAGTTCCTTATAACTCATTAAAGCACCAAGAGCTCCTAGAAATCCCTCATGGCGCAAGAAAGTTGCTTGCATTTGACCCTTTGACCTGAACACAAAAATAAAATCTAAGCCCGGTGAAAAACATAATCCCTCCAAGGCTCCAACTCAGAATTTTATAAGCTGCTCTAAAAAAAAATTCATATGTGTAAAAATACGTAAAATTAAAAAGAAATGATACGTCAAGTATCATTGCTGGATGATCAAAGAACAGCGTTAACTAATGTCCTAAGAGACACAATAGAATACTCACCAATAACTAATAGCATAAGATATGTTGTCCATTGTGCTGGGATGTCCACGAATGTAAGATCCTCCAAAGAAAACTCTATTAAAACCTAAGAGCGCTGCTACAAGAAAAGCAACCTGAAATGTACACATCATAAAGAAAAACACAAGTTAGTCTTTGATCAATTCTCTAACATAATATTTTTGTCTTTTTATCACATTCTTCATCCTTTCTTTCTTTTTCTCTGACTTGTATTCTTTTTTACTACACTTTTTTTCTAATTCATTCTGCTTTAGCCTTTATATGTTAAAAAACTAGGGATTATTGTTTCTTATATTGGTGGAAGTTGGAAATTACACTGTAGGTCTCCTAGGAATAGATTAAGACAATCTCATAGCCTAGAGAGATCATTTCTCAAACATGGATAGATTAAGAATGCTGCTACAAGAAAAGCAATCTGATATCTACAGATATAAAGATGAACAAAAGATATCATCCTCAGACATAATAGGTTTTGCTTTGTATCACATTCTTCATGCCGGACATATACAAGTTGTTTTTCATTTTTCTGCTTTTCTTGTTTTTTCTGATTGTATCTTTTTTTACTTCATTATTTTTTTCTAATTTATTCTGTTGAGCCTCCAAATGTGCACAAAACAAGGATTACCATTTCCTTTATTGCTCGAAGTTGGAAATTACACTTTGTAGGTTTCCTATGAATGGATTAGGACAATCACATAATAGTTACGGCTTGTATCACACTTCAGACTTATAAAAAGAGTTATTTTCTTTGTTTATCTTTCCGATTGGATGTATTTCTGTTACCTCATTTTTTTTCTAATTTATTTTGTTTTAGCCTTCAATTGTGCACAAAATAGAGATTTTAGCCTCCATTTCTTGTATCACATTTTGAAGTTGGAAATTACAGTATGTAGGTCTCCTAGGGATAGATTGGGATACTCCCATAGCCAAGAAAGATAATTTTCTCAAACATAAATTTACCTATGATGCACTACCAGTTTCAATGACCTACTAGACTGGTAGGTCAATATATGCTACTATATATATTGACCTGAACCACCAGGCATTAATAAATAAATAAATAAGGATGTATAATAGAAAAGTACAAGATTATACGTACACTTGGTATTTATTAGGGGTCAGCACATACCTGTACAACCAATATTTTAATCCTTCTAGGCCAAGCAAAAAGAAGTGTATCATCAACAAATTACAAAAAGAGTATATTTTATCAAGTATTATGCTTCCCCAAATCTCTAATAATGTTTTATTGTCTCACAGAAAGAACTCCTTTAATCTTTGGGAAATAGGAAAATGGAAATGGGAAATAGGGACACCTTGTTTTAATCTTCTTCATGTAGGAGACTATTTTGCAGCTGACTCACTGATTGAAACATGTTTTGGGAGCAAAATTCATAGTTCAATTCATTTTTCTACTTATTTCTTAAAATATAGCTTTTGGGGAGTTCCAATAAGACATTGGATGCTAATTTAACAAAAGACTTCTGAATATTTAGCTAGATAATAATTCCTTTAATATAGTTATTGCAGCTGTAGGGTTTGTCATTTCGGGTACCAGACCCATCTTGGAGATTTGTTGGCACCATACATACCAATCTATATTAGTGTACCGACACATGATATGCCGGGGTGTGCCGATGGGGACTCGAGCGAGCTGCATCTTAGTGGAGAGTCGAACAGGTATGTACCGCCCAAGTTGGTACATGCTTCGTCATGAAACAATTACTAGATCCTAGACACTTAAAAGAAGAATGTTGGAAAATGACGTATTAGATCTGGCAGGATCTTTTTCTTAGTATCACCAAACTATGAAGCTTGAAAAAAAGCTATTAGGTGCTTTTAAAAAATACATAGTAAAATATCTTCAAAGATTCACTTTTTAATTAACCATTCTTAATAAAGGAGATGATGGAATTAAATAAAGTTCTTGTCTTTGCCTTGATATCTAATCAAGTCAATTTAGTTTATGAAGGAAAGATGATTCTCTGGACATGAAAAATTTTTACCAGCCATGAAGTTTAACAAAGAGAATAGAAAAAAGAGGAAGAATATCAGCGATTGATAAAGTTAACATACTTGCAAAATAACTTCAATATCTAGTACTCAACAATATCTAACAGAACTACTGCCAGAAAACAAAAAGAAAAAATTTGGTCTCATTTCATCTCTCCAGATTGTGATGGGCATATACGGTGCACGACGCTCCCACAATGTGAGGTGTGGGGAGGGTCTCTGTTTTCCAGTTTGTAAAGGAACAACTTTATTGTATCAAAGCCCACCCTCTACATATACTTAATTTCCGAATTCCTTTTATCTTTATCTTCTGCCAAGTCCTTGTGGAATATTTTAGTTGGCCAACCACTAGTTAAAATGAACTACTATATGCCATCAGAATTGATAGATGTATTAGTTCATCTTTTTCATGGAAAGCATATTTATTTAGATTCACAAATTCAAGTGGATAAATCTAAGAGAATACCTGTCAAAAAATCAAGAGTAGCTAGTAAACAGAAGATATAGATGTATAATTTGTAAAAGTTGCCAAGAAAAGAATAATTATGTTCTAACACAAAAACAAGGTGTGTGATAGAAAACATTAAATCTAATATATTTGTTGTCTGAAAGTGTCCAAGTCTTCAAGGTATTATGTTGGTTTCTATTTTTGGCAAATGCATTTCTGTTGCATTCTGGAATTGTTGTGGCATGCAAGGATTATACCATAAAAAAATAAAGAGACTCGTACACTTGACTAAAAGCCAAAGAAAATTCTAGGCTGATTGTTTGACTGAGGTTTTACCAAAGCAAGGGCCTTCGTTCAAAATAGATAAACTATATAATCAAGTGCAAGAAACTGGATAAGCTTTTATGACAAAGTGTTAAACTAAAATTGTGTGTACCAAAATTCTTGGAACATGAATTACATGCAATAAACCTAAAATACTATCTACTAATCAAAACTTAATTTCAATGTTTAGAAAAGAAGTAGGTGAGAATAATAATCTCAAATCAAGCTTTGACTGGCTTGATCAACCTTTCCTCAAAAAGAAAATATTTACTCAAGCATACAATAAACTGAGAAAGCCATACATACTTGTGCAATATTATAAGTAAAAGCACTCAACAATGTAGTAGCAAGATCTTCAGGTTTGTAATCTGAAAGTGTCCTTTTTGATGTTATCACCTTCCCAAAGCTTGAAGCAAGGGTTGATGCAGAAAGACCTTGCTGGGGCAATTTGGTTAGACATAACCCAGTTAGATAAGTACAAAAAAGACGATGTTGGACCACCATAAGTATTATAAATTGCCACTTGTCATATATATATATATATATATATATATATATATATATATATATATATATATATATATAATATTTTGAGCCAGTGATTCACCAGATAATTTATGAAACTAAGCATCTATTCATGACATCCAATACGTTACTAGATAGCATAACTATCTTGAGCATCCATGACATAATAAATAACATGTCTTCCTCCTTTATAGAATTAGGTTATATCTTTTATCTGCAACTTTATATCTGTTCAGAGCTGTCCCAGCAGAAAAACAGTAGTTAGTTGGGAACTAGCATAAAAGTTTGTCAAAACAAACATAAAAAATAGACCATTATCAAATACAATGGAGCAAGATCATCATTATGAAGTAACATGTTGCATCAATAATACATTTCAAAACACACTAAATGTGACCCACAACATTAGTGAACAAATTCAGTGACAACTAAGATTTTAGCATGAGGATTGCCATCAGAGAGGTTAGTCCAAGATCATAAATTTAAAATAGAAACATAAAATATAAAATCAGTAAAAAATTCAAGATATGACTGAACTGAATCATAATAAATGTCAAAATAAATCACATGTTTCAAAAAGAAGCTGAATGCCCATTTATTAGATTTCTCGGGCTCTTAAGCCAACTTAACTCTTTCAGAAGGAAACAAAATCAAACAAAGTTTGCATAGTCTACACCTACCTAAGACAGACTCCTATTTCTATGGTGAAAAGTTCTACATTCTTTAATATCACTGTCAAAACTTAACAAGAGTATCATCAAAATCAACCCCTAAAATCATTAGAAATAAAAAAAAAATTCAAAGTCAGATCTAGCTCAAATGAACTCAACTTAGATCCAACTAGACAGTAAACGAACCTAATATAGATGTAATCGATTTGCATAATTCACTATCTTGTCCTTAAGATATTCACATGTCTAAGTCCATGATCAACACAAGGAGCTCCAGCAATCAATAATGCATTGTGGTGCATGCACTATGATCTGTTGAATTGAACAACTAATTTTCATCTGCAACCAACACAACAAACCTTATAAAATTTGATCTCTGTGACCTTGAGATATGCATTCATCTATGATAGATAAATTCGGTTTAGAAAGGCAAACTATAAGAATTTGGTCCCTTAACCAGAAGCAGCTTACATTGTAACATCTTGACTAGTAATTGAACAATTTGATTCCGAATCTTAGAATTCAATTCATCAATTTAATCATGTGGTAGACCTCTTGTTTCCCTCTTGCTGTCGGATGACTTCTAGCACTTCATATCATCCTCAATGGGATGACCTACATGACGAACACAATATATTGATCAGTATTAAAATGTGAATATTCTATGTTCATAGAATGAAATGGAGAGTCTCTAGATATTTGAGTGTCCTATCTTCAATTAATGATACAGAGATATGGTTCAAGTCTCTCCACATCAGGGATTGTCTTAATATTAAGAATCTCTAGAATGTTGTCTCATGACCACTTCATACATGTTTCGATGCTTTCAAGATTCCACAAATTCTTCTTACAAGCTCGAAATCAATGTTGGCATCATCCCCGAGACCCTCATGGTCACCATCCATGGCCATCACATATGTCCACCTATCCATGGCCGCCACAAAGGACTAATATTTGGTAATTGTCCAGCATTGAAATTTTGAACCATGACTAAAAAAAGTTCTATTACATAAAAGTGAGTCAGTTCAGGCAAACTGAAATAAGAATCTTCATAGGAAACAATTATCTCCATGTGCCATATGTTGATAGAATATTTGAAGCTTTAGAAGCAGAATGAAAGCTAATGGACAAAAATTTGTTTGTCTTTCGGAGCTACAATCCACCTGCTTGCTTTCCTATCTTCTCTGAACCATACTACACTAGCATTTCTACTTCTGGTAAAGTTTTTCTTTTCCATTCTGGGCTAAAAAGAAGAGAATGGTGAGACCATATGTTTGATCAATCACTGGAGCATGTATTTCTGATGCAGTTTCTTTGGATCTACAATGGAGAAATGAGGAAAGAGCCTATGAATTAGAGGAAGAGAAGAGAAAAAAAAAACAAGAAAGATAGGGATGGACAAGAGAGAGATGCCCAATCAAAAGAAGGGCTCAATGATGAAGAAAACTTAAACATCATATATGGTCTCAGTGCCATTCACTCAACACAAGAGAAGTTAAATGACATTTATAACAAATGATTCCTTCAGCTTTAAGTTAACTAAAATTATTCAAAATGCAAGTATATAATTAGATAGAGTTTTTACTTAATTTAACTTGTCTAAGACAGACTCACTTACAATAAAGACCCACTAGATCTTATACTTTAGAAGGATAAAATATCAAAAAAATCACACCAAATATTACCAATAATAAGGTTTCAAATATTGGTTGATATGTATTGTAGCAACCAGTGTTTACTAGTCTGAGCAAGGATCATGTACCGACTGGTATTTACTAGTCCAAGCAAGGATCAACATCAGACCATATGGTCTGGTACTGATCAGTATTTAAATTTTTAATATTTTCTTCAGCTAATAATAGGTGGTATGAACTATGAAGTACACGAGTATTATGTCAGTCTAGTAGATCACCAAATCCAGTATCGAACTAAGATTTAAAACCTTCTGAACTTATAAAGATTACAATCAAACTCTGATCTAACTCAAACAAACCTAACATAAGACTATAATATAGCCCAACTTCCTAGCATAGATGAAACTTGGAAGAAGCTGACATTAGTATAGTGTGAAGATTGATGACTAAAGACTTTAAAAATTGGCTAAAGTTCTTGGGGAAAATAAGTGTAATGAAGCATCTTGAAAGTGTAAAAGTTAACGAGTGATAAAATCCAAATGTAATTGAAGATAAAGAAAATGTTAAACATCAACTTATTAAGTGCTAAAACTAAGATCAAGGAGGTGCAATAATTATGAGATAAGATGCAACTAGCAAGGACCTAGCTTTTGATGTTATCCATACAAAAGTTTACAAGATTGAAAATCAATTTGCTTAAGTAGTTACAATCAAAATTTAAACAACTACAAAGGATGCCACCTTACAATTGAAGGTGTAGCATTTGGGTATACTGTAAGAACAAAGGATACATAGAACTTCACAACTCATCAAGCAATTAAGTTGGGCAATCATATATAACTTTGGTTGAGAGTGAATGAACCAAGATTAAACGATAATTATTCCAAAATTAATTTTGTGTTGTTAATTTAGATAGAAGAGAAGTAAAAAATCTTAAACTATTTTAACAAACATGGAAAATTTTAATATAGTTATTAAAGAAATAATGAGAGAAATTTTAATCTAGAGAGGAATAAAACATCCTTGTAATCGTAACATGAATTAACAAGTTTTTGCTATTGTAAAAACAAGAAAAGGTGACAATGAGTAAAATTTCTATTATTACAGGGTTGTATCAAGAGCAAACCTCAAGTCCCTTACCTTCTTATCCATGGTGAATAAAACTTATTAGAATTGTTTATGATGAAGTCCCATAGTGCACAGTTTCATTAAAGAAAATTTTATAATCACCAATACTAGAAGAACCTCTAAATTACTCTGGTAGACAACGGATTTAATTAATGACCAAGATGGATTTAAGTTTAACTTATATCACAGAAAGAGAGCACATCTAAAATATGCAGTCAAGTAAATTCAGAAAAAAAAAAAAAGAAGAAGCTTGATACTAGGAACTATAGTTTGAGATTGAGGAACTAATTTTCATATGCAAAGATTGAAGAAAAAAATACTTCTCTAAATTAAGATATTTAAAATGTTAAAGTACAATGTAGAATACACCTTAGATTAAAATGAAAGTTTCACTAATCAGTTATATAACAATCTATTCTTTTTGGTAAGAGTTGATAGTGGAAGGGATAATTTATGATAGATGAGGATGTTGAGATAACTCTCTGGAACAAGAAACATTGACCAAAACATCTATTAAGGGTCCACAAATGCACTGATAGGACAAGGACAGTGATATCAGAGATAATAGGAGGGGTAGAAGAAGATCAAATGGATAATTAGTAAAGAATACGATGACAATTGGATTGTCCAGTTTCATGGACCTCAATAGATATTAAAAGAAAGAAAGAGTCCATATAATCAATCCAAGATATTAGGGAACAACAAATTGTGTATAACTGATCCAAGATGTTTGGGAACAGTTAAGCAACTATATATGAAGGTCATGGTCCATTTGTTGGACTTAACAAGATTATAAACTATTTCTCATGTTACTAGATTGTTCTAAGCAAGGTATGCAATTTCGTATCGTACCGGAGTTTTGACGTTCACTCGGTACGGTACGAAACTGTATACCGAGCGATATACCGCTCGGTATATATATATATATATATATTTCATTCCGTCTGGTAACGGGCGGTCCGTGTACCGATAAGCTGACGGACCGGTACATACCGCCTGTACCGGACGGTATTATTCGAAATTGCATACCTTGGTTCTAAGTTCACAACAAACAATGACATGCTAAACGAGAATAAAACACAAGGTCTAAAATCATGATCTAAACCCCATCTCCCAACACTACTGTGAGTTGGTATCACCCAGACCAAGAGAAAAAGGGAGAGAGAAGGGGAGGAGGAGAGAAAAGGAGGAAGGAAGAGGATTGATAAAAGGCAAGGATGAGCCGAGGAGGAGGAGGAGGAGGTGGAAGGGGAGGAGAAGCAGAGAATGAAGGAGAGGCAAAGTTGAAAGAGGAAAAGGTAGAGGAGGAGAAGCGGAGAGATAGGAAGAAATCACAGAGGAGGTATTGAGGAGACAGGAGGTAAGGAGGAGGAAACCGAGGAGCACTAGAAGCGGAGGAGGAAGCAACAATGCAGTGGGGTATTGGCAATGACATGGTGGGGTGGGTACTGTAGATCCATGAAAGAGACTGAGAAAGAATGAAAGAGAGAGAGAGGAGCATAAGAAGATAGAAAATTAAAATAAAAAGAATAAATTTCAAGGAAAAATTAAAAATAATAGGGGTATCAAACAGTGGACCTACTGTTTGGTGCCTCCAGTTTCAACCATTAAAATTGATGATATGCCTGGTACAGCAAGCATACTGGCCATCATACTTTAACTAGCAAACTTTATTATATAATCTCATACCTGTTCACTAACTAAATCTCCACAGATATCCTTCACAATTAAGTCAAGTACTAGATTATCCCCTTGCTGACTCAGCTTCAAGAATTCATCATAACTGTACACATTCAGGTTACATGATTCAAAACCAAATCAAAACCTTTGAATAAAAGCATATGATGGAAGCAAAATTACCTCAAGCAACCTGTTAAAAGTTTTGCTAAACCAAACATTGTGCCACCACCAATATGTGTTCCGGTTACCCGTTCAAACTTCCTGTTTCCTGTAACCTGCATACCATTATATGCAAACACCTTATTGGATTTATGCAATTAGCAAATGGTTGGTTGAAGTATCACAAAATAGTACCATATGCAAGTTACCTTTATGAGACCGACACCTGAACCAATATTGACAAGGAGGTAGGGAAATAAGTTGTTTCTGTCAATTTCTACAGGTTGCCTTTTCCCATCCATGTGTGTAAAAGATTCTCCAGGGATTTCCTGCCCATAAATAACAGTTAATGATTTAATCTAAAGAAGCTATCAAAACTCCTGAAGAATTGTTCCAATATCATACATGTAGAAACATTTATGCTTATTTGACTGATACAGTACCAGCAAAGTAGTAGAAAAACATTACTTTAGCAAAAAAATTCTGATCTATAAAGTTATGATTAGAGCAGTATAACAAATACATTAGTTGTTTAAGCAGAGTTATTCAGCTTTAAATTTGCTTACCTGAGTTCTGACATTCCACTCACCATGTTTAACAGTACAACATGATATGCAATGAGAAGACCTGCAGTCTCTAAGTGTTATCATCAATGCTAAAAGTATAACACTAATACAAAAACACATCAATTTCACAAAGAAAGAAGACGCAACTCATTTAATGGGATAATCAACCTGATCAATCATTAGTAAAAGAATTGACTACTATATTGTAATGCAAATCAGTAACACAAGAATCATATGAGAGTTTCAGCAGTAGACCTTCAACAAAAAGTTGGCTCCGGCTACAACACTATCAATTTCATCCAGCTTATCAAGACTGACACCTAGAATCTCCTTGAATCTGCCAGTAAATTTAAATGCTCCACCACCTGTAGCCTAATCAAGCATTGAGAACACATTAATAGAAAACCAGGTCCAATCACTCAGCTACAATTTTTTTAAAAGGAGAACAGTATGCAATATTCTAGTATAAGAGAGGCATTTAAGCATTTAAAATCTATGTCGAACAATTACCATTATTAACATGTCTAGGTGTCCCAATTTTAAAGTTGAGATGAGAGCTTTTTACTAGATTGCTTGATAAGAGACTCGATAATGGTGGAAAATAAAAAAACATAGATCATGTCAACTTTTATTCTCTCTACTTTCTTTATTCAAGAGCATGTCAATTGAGAACACCAGTGTATCTTATCAAAATTTATATGAAAATTAATTGAGTGCCATTGTTGTGAGTCCGACTTATACAGATTATTCCTACATGCATAAGGTCCTAAAGAAACAAAGGAAAAGAGCTAGTTAGTCAGTGACAATTGTGATAATTGAAAGTTTAGCATTGTCAATATGGGCAGGGGTGAAACATTATAAATGTTATTTTATGTGTTCGTAAAGTTTCTCTTATACAAATGAAAGTTTAGTTCTGTTCAATCTGGCATATGTCTGTTTCTGAACAAAATGTCATAATTTTCATTCTTTGTTATGGTCTACGTTTGCTGTATCACCCAAAACGGTACGTACCAATCCGGGCATAGGCTGATATGTGGACCTCCTGTTTCGGGCAATCTAGTTAAAATAATAAAAAAATTCAAAAAATTGGTGGGGCCCTATCCAAAGCAGCCTTAAAAAATAAAAAGAAAAGGATTAGGGCTTGCATTCACGAACCCTCTTCTTGCATAAGATGTTGCCACCTTGCCATCACCGCTTCACCACTACTACTTCGACGCTTCCTCGCTGCTGCTGCTGCCACTTTGACACTACCGTTGTCTTGCCGCTGCCACTTCACTCTGCTCTTTTCCTTCTCTTCTTTCTTCTACTTCCTTCCTCCCTCCTTCCTCCTCTATTCCTCCACCGCCCCTTCCCCTTCTCCCCCTTTTTCTTCTTCACCAAGCCACCGATACACACCAGCATACCATGTGTCAATATACCGGTATAGACTGATACTCACCGGTCCAAAAAATAGCCGAAACGGGTTTGGTACCCAAAAAGGCAATCCTTGGTTATGGTTGTCTTTCTAAGTAGATTCTCTGTGTAAACTATTTTTATGCATTCTCTTTGCTACTATGTGTTGCCTTAATTGTCAAAGTTTTGAGCGTAACTTGCTGATGGATAATGTACACTTCAAATACATTGATCTAATGGTAGTGGAGCTAGATCCACTTAACAAAACTTGAAGGTTTGGAACCTTACCTGAAAATTTGAAGATGTCAGTTAGACTTTTATTGTTTCATAACAAGGTCTATTGAGTCTTATCATATTCTCACCACTTATCATTTGTGAAAAAAATGATGGATAATGTGTCCAGAAAACAAGACACTAAGGAAAATAAACAAAACCATGTAAGGATATAAACAACTACCTGTTTTTTTTAAGTTGAATTTATGCAACAATTTCAGCAATATATGGCTTTGGAGTGAACATATCATACTACACTTAGCATATGGTGCATGAATCATAATAATCTACATCTATTTATCGTTGAATACATGAAATATATATATATATATATATATATATATATATATATATATATATATATATATTATTCATGATACTTCTCTTTACTTGTTTCTTCATACATATCACATAATTTGTGTCATGTGAACACTAAAGGTTAACGAACTTTCTCCAAACTATTTAGAAGAACAGTCACTACCAGGTATGTTTTTACCGCCCAATACATACTCGTTACTGGGCTTGTACTAGGTGATAAGTGTTGTTTATAGGATTTACCTGGAGGTGAACCATGTACCAGACCAGAACCGCCCATCTGGTTAGGATTGGTCCATGTCCTAGCAACTGAACGAACTGATAAATCAACAGCAGTCCGCGTGGTTTTGCAATCTATAGTCATGCATCTCAATTACAAGGATCAAAGTATGCTAGACTTTCTTTTGAAAAAAATTTATTATTGAGACATTTGCTGCTTTTGAAAATATTTTCTTATTTCCTTAGTCTTCATTATCTAAAAGCCAACAACTAAGAAATAACTTGCTTTATGTGTTAGGTTTGTTTCCTTACACCAGGGTTTGCTGTACCGACACATATCGCCTAGTACGGGTGGTATATAATGGTCCAACATGGAACCGGTACGCGAACCACCGTATACTAGGCAATACCATTACATAACCCCATATCATCCGATACACAGTCTGTACTAGTCAATAACGGTCAAAATCTGACCATTACCGACCAAGGGCTGAGATTGCCCTATTTCAAATAGTCAAATTGACCGTTTGAACAATTGAAAAAGGTTTTTAAACCCTTTCCTCCCCCCTCTTTCAACCCATTTCACTCTCTCAATCTCTTCAACTCTCTCAATCTCTTAAACTCTCTCAAACTCTTTCTCACTTACATCTCTTTCTCATTCTCATATTTTCACTCTCCTAAGCTCAACAAAACTATGATTTATGGATTAGATCAAATTTGAGAGGCTAATTTGGGAGGATTAAAAGGAAGAATACTCTAATCAAGAGATATGTATTCTCTTTCTAGATTTTTATTGATTTATGAGATGATTAAGCCTATTCTATGTTGTTAATGACTTAATGTCTAATATGTTGTTTGATATGATTTTAGTGATAGAATAGTATTAATTAAAGAGTAATTAAGGACTTAATGTTGTGATTAGTGTGTTTAATGCTTATTTTTTTGAAATTAGACACTTAATGAGTCAAATCTTTGTATTTCATGCATATTAAGGTGATTTATATGTTTGTGATGATCTAATAGGTGTAATTAGATTTTAATTAAGATTTTTAATACTGTGATTAGTGGTTTTAATGATGATTTAATCAAATTTTGATCAATATTGGGTCAATTCAATATTTTTAATACCTATTAGGATGTTTGACATGTTTATAGTGATGAAAGAGGTCTAATTATGTTAATGCTGCGATTAGTGTCTTTAATTATGATGATATCGAAATTTGACCCATATTGGGTCAATTAAATGTTGGTACACCTCGATACGTACCGTACCGACACATGGTCGATACATTGGTACAGACCAGTTCCGCAATCCTTACCTTACACTACAAATAACAACATTATCTAGACATGTGGTTGATAATATAATCCTTACATTACCTTTAAATATATTAAGCTTATCTAAGACTAGTAAGAGAATAAGTAAAAAATATTTAACATTCATATGCAGGAGTTTTTGAATAATTTCTGAGACAAAAGTAAGTTTAACTAGAAGAGGATAACATGGTACATGAGTTATCCACCAATGTGATGTTGGGGAAAGTCAGTGTAGGCCCCTACAAGAAGCAATGTTTCTGTGAATCCAAACCTTGGCCAACCAGATTGTAAAAGAACAACCTTACAGTTACAGAAATGCTCACCCTCACAAAAGTAAGTTTGACAACTAATTTCTTGTACAATCTTGGTATCAACATCCTAACAGTATCTATCCTGCATAAAAGTACTCAGCACTAAAATAGACTAACATCCTATGATAGATTATAATTAACAATTACTCTTGTTAAAGGAATTGTCAAATCTAGATCACATTTCTCGAGATAAAATTCCTTACCAATTTTTTCAAATCCCACCAAACACTAGTTCGATCACACAACCGGTTCTACAAGAAAATTTATGTTCCAAAAAGCAAAATAAATTTTTACAAGGAATTGAAATAATTTAGTAATTGGTTTTTCATGTAACATAACAAATTTCTATATGGAAATTTTGAAAGGGAAAATTTATTTGCTTTCTGTAACACATAAAACAATAACCTCATCTGAAACATCCTGCTCCATCATGATTCATGCAAGGAGATTGTAAATCATGTATGGAGAATAACAATCACAGAAATACAAAAAGGAGACAAAAAAGTGTGTAACCTTTATTGTTGCATGTCCATTTGATGGTTCCGCAGAAAAACCTGCCAAAATGAGTTAAGACTTAATAGTATTCAGCAAACTGTATCACAAACTAATGAGTGATGACATATGAAAATTTCAATAAAAACACTAAGCAGAACACACATATTCTGGTTCCATTAACTGTAAAACTTATGATATAAACCGAAAAAAAGAAGCCTGTGATACTTGGAGAAGAACATGGGAATACATGTCTCACACAACTTGCTTGGGTCCTTACCAAGTTTATATGGCTTCATGAAAGCATCCCTGAAAGGGGATATCTGACAATATGTGCTGGTGAGCTAAGGTGAAGATGTACATAAAAAAAAATGACTTATGAGCATGACCTTTTGTCTGCTGAACTATCAGGACAGGATATGTTTGACTGCATGAAAATAACAGGTTAAGAAGTACAAACACTGAGGATTTCCAACTCAAGACTACCAAATATACTAGCATTTAATTCTTTAATTCTCTCTAGAGCTAGGTTACATTTAAATTATTTAATAGAAAATCAATGAATTAACAAAGAATCCTCCCTCTAGTTCGATGATTCCTCCAGATCCTGCATTTTAATGATACCATTTATAATTCAGTATCTTATTCCATTATGAAGTTGATATGCCCATTGGTCATTACTACACCTCCAGCAATTTGTTGATTTCCTCAATGATGTAGCATGGATCATGCGTTTTCCAGTCCTTCATTATATCTATGTTGCAGCTTTGCAAGTCTCTTCATTTTTACTAGAATCCACTTGGTTCACTATCATCATGCATATAAGTGAATCAGTGATGCCAATCTTCCACATGCATCTCTCGTGTAAGGCGGGGAAAAGAGTGCCAAAATACAGTTATACAGTCCTCCAGAATTCTTCAAGAACTGTGATAAATCATTTCGTAGAAGCAGGTAGAGATTTCTGGAATTTGTCATAAGAGACAACTAGAATTTGACTGACTCAGGGCAACCACTTGTGTAAATATGCTGAGGTTTAGTAGTTCTCTTCTTGTTATATGCTGATTTTTGTGAAAGAATCCATTTTACACATTTTTGTTGGATATTTGGCTACTTGCATTAGTTCATTCATATTATCTTCAACTGCAGAATTAGTGGATCTTTCTATACTAGCTAACCAAGCTTTGAATCGTATAGATCAGCCAGGAAAATTGTACACTCCTGGCACATCTTAATTGAATTTTCACTAAAGTTTTAAACTAAAATGTATTAACAAAACATGACGTGATCGTGCGCATCACATGCTGTCATATTATATACCCTTTTATCGTATTTACGTAAAATTGTAATATGGAAAAAAAAAGGTTAAAATTGTAATAAGGAAAAGAATAAAATCACACCATTGGGGGATATAAGCTTTTTGGACCGGATGAAATCCAAGCAATCATGAAGGCGCCTCCGTTCGAACTTCACAAAATGTAGAAGCCCTTCCGAGAAATACACCAACTTAATCAGAGTCCCTACGGTCACCAAGAAATCATGTCAAAAAAATTCAGATAGGGGGATTCCTATTTGAGGCTGATTACTATGCGAATCCACGCTAGGATCGAAAATTCAAATACCAAAGCATGCCAAGAAATCAATTGCAGCTACCTCCAATGTCGAGCGCAAGGAGGGATGAATCCGGAGGCTGATTGGGGAGGAAGATAGGAGGATTCCTCTCGTCGGGATCGCCACGAATCTCCGCGCCGCCGAGGTTGAGATTCGCGGGACATCCTGCCATGATCTCAGAGCTGGAAACAGAACAATTTTTAGTTTGGTGGCATTGGCGATCAGCAGATCGGATCCGAAATGGAGAGGAGCGGGCCAAACAACTACGGTGGGAGGTAGGGTTTCTGTAATCATCATCATCATCATATTAATAGGAAGCAGATAAGAACCGAGAAGGTGCACCTACCAACATCGTTGAATTCAACATGCACAGAAAAATACAGTCGATCGCTGCAAGCATTGACCGACGGACACAACCCTTCTGAATAAGGCAACCGTACGGTAGAAGACAGTTGTCAAAGAGTACATCCCCTTGCAGCAAATCGGATAGCAGAAGTCTTGTTTTGGATCCGAATGAAACATTTCTGGAAGCCAATTAACGCATGTGCGATCAGACGCGCTTTGACGGCAAGTAAATGCGGGGAAGAAAAGAAGAATCAGACTGCATCTATCGCACATCCCATCATGCGTTTCCCAATGCATTTAAAATCAAATATGGTTCAATGCATATATATATATATATATATATAAAACCTGGATATTACATTACAAATGCTACCTCACTTAATATTATCTAAAATTACAAAATAACCAAGATGAACATGATTTATATATTCTATAATATAAAATTTTATTTATTTATTTTTTAAAACTTTTCTTTATATTTATCTATAAGGTTGAAATTTTATTTATTGTATATCTAGGTCATATGAATTTTTTTAAAGATTACATATTTTTATTTACTTATTAATTTAAAATAAAATATATGTATTCACTCTTCAATAAATATTTAAAATATTAGAAGGATAAATTTATCATATAATCTTTAATATATTTTTTAAAATATAATTTTGTCAAACAACATTTACGTGAGTACATACTTCAAATATAGTTTTCATCTATTATTTACCAATCACTCAAAGCACTTCACAAAAACACATTCACTCAAGTCTTCTTATCCAAATGCATATTAAAAATATAAGCATATTTCTAAACATACATGTATGTATATACATATATACATATATATACATATACATATATACATATACATATATATATATATATACTAAACACATTTAATGGTGGTTAACTAGGCTTTTCAGAGGGATATTAAGGGGAAAATATATTAGTTTTTCTTGCAGGGGTATATGTGTCAGTGAATTCAGGGAAATACCATACATTTTGAGTTTTTCTTGGATGGAACCTTTTTTATTATTATTTTCTTCTCCTCAAACTCCTTTTTCTGTCTCTTCAGTTAAAATTCCCCTCTTCTAAAAGCTCCAATTCATTAAATCACTGGCTATCCTTAAATATATTATATTAAAAATTTTAAGAAAATAGTTATTAAATTTTGAGAAAAATTCTTATCCATATCAAATAGTTATAATTGGTAAGTAATTTTTAGATATTTTTAATTGAAAACTAAGTTGCATGGGAGGCATTTTCTATTAGTTGGAATGAATACACTGAATCCAATACCAATAATTCCAACATTCCAACATTAATCACTAAATCAATTTTATATTTATTTTTATTTTACATTATAATAATAATAATACAAGCATGAAAGAAACTAAATCGAAGATATTAAATAGTAAAATTACAGGATCTTCATCACTTACCTTTATAAAAAAGAAAAAACAACCATCATTGAATGTAAATGATAGAAACTATATTTGTTAAGGCAGGAAGAATATAAATGAAACTGTGACAGAGTATTATTGCATGTATATTGAATGATATAAACTGCGATTATGTTGGCGTCTATGCGAAGCTCAAGATATGTTCAACTTATCTTGTTTGCCACAGCCATGCTCATCACACATTATGATGAGTGAACTCCAATCCATCATGCAGGAGTTGTCATGTTTTGAGAAACAAAAACAGAGTTGAAAGCTCCATCTCAATCTACCCATACTCTTGACTTAAATTCTTAGAAAGTGAACAACATTGTTTCTAGGGTCAACTTAAATGTTGGGACCATTGAAATAAATGGGCATGTTAGCTCTCTCTGGGGAGAAACTTGGTTGTCCTAAACACCTGTGTTAGAGTGCTGCTCTTTCCATATTCTTGACTTAGTTTCTGGGAGAAGTGACCAACATTGTCTCAGCAATTAATTCAAGGTCAGCTTACATGTTGGGAACATTGACATAAATGAATATGGTAGCTATTTGGGAAGAAACTTTATAGTTTTAAACACTTCTCATATAATTGATTTGATAGTTTCTGAGAGAAGTAAACAACATTGTCTCTAACTATCAATTCAAGGTCAACTTACATGTTGGGAACATTGATGTAAATGGAAATGCTAGCTAATTAGGGAAGAAACTTGGGAGTCTTAAAAGACTTCTGCTGGCAGTCCCCAACATGAGAGCCAATTCCATCATTCATATCATCACCAAGATAGTGAGAGGCAACCCAATCCCTTAGCAAACAACAAATGAAAATAGTATAATATAATATTCAGCTGAGTGATCTGAGGAACACAGCAGCTTCATGTGGTTGAGCAAATTAACAAGCCATTATCCGAGCTAATTTAATCCCATGCCTTAACATGGTTGAAAGAGACTTCATTTATCATCATGGTAATTTTTATAGATCACAATGACAATTTTACGAAATCATTTATGATGATGGAAATTGATTGTCATACTAAACATGCTCATGCCTTGCTCGTCTGTCTTAACGCTACAATGTAAGAGCTTTCTTCTCCATGGCACTTATATTTTATATGCTATATAAGATAATAATTAAAAATATATGAACATATTTCTGCCAACTCAGTTATGGAGACTGACAAGGTTTGAATCTTTATTCCACGTATTCAAAAAGCATAGCTAATTTTGACCAGTAAGACCCTGCTGGATCATAAAGTTTTGGAATCAAAACTTCATCATTTATCTTAAAAAAATAAAAAAACATCTGTATGAATCTTATCTTTAAAAATGACTTATTGTAAGCTCCAAAATCTCTAAAATTTCAAATAATACTGATTAAACCTAACAAAGTATTAATTATGTCATGGGTGGGTGCCATTTCCACTTGGTACATGAGAACACATTACATGAGTCATTGGTAAGAGGGTGGAGTATCAAAATACAAGTAGAAAAAATGATAGGAAATGCTACAATCGAATCCACAACTTTGTAGTAGTTTCGGAAATAATAAGAAACAAATGAATATTCATAGCAAAAAGCAAGTTGGTTCATAGTATATATATATGCTCACATGTCTCTCAAGCATGAATCACCATTGACCCAGAAATAGGAATACATTAGACCTTTTTACCAGTTGAGCTCAAAATATGCTTCTGCACAAACATTTGTGATCTGGTATATACATTAAGGGAATATTTTTTTCTAAATCAGCACTGAAGCATTTGTGAAAAATCCAGACTATACTAACTTCTTGTTGTGTGCATCCTTTTTCCATCAACAGGTTGGTTGAAGTTAACAATCAACCTTGTAGGTATGCTCATAAGCTCCACAAAAGAATCCATATAACCATTGCTTTGGTTGGAATGGTAGATCATGTAATCAAACATGTAGTTCTGCTACAAATAAGAAATTATGGGCAATAAACTGCAAGCTGTCGAACATGCCTGGAACAGTAGTCAAGATGTGGGCAACAGCCTGCCATTATACATCTTCTCTAGCAACTTTCGTGCCTCTGGTCGCCGAAGAAGCCCCTTGTTGTTGGGCAAGCCTGTGCCAAGACAAACTGGGCAGACCAGCTTTCCACGACCTGAACCATCATGTATAGCATTCTACTCAATGAGTCTAAATTTAATAAAGTGGTCAATCCTTTTAACAATAAAAAAGGACATGTTCCAAAGTTCATGCATGAGGTCGATTTTCCAGAACAAAATGAAGCTGACAAATAAATAAATAAATAAATAAATACAAGGGCATCTTGTAGGTGAAGGAGAACCATTGAGTCCATTAGAAACTTCAATTTTCAATGATGGCTAAAGGAGCAAATGTTTAATAATAACAAATGCACATAACAATTTATGACCTAAACTATAAACTTTTAGAATTTAGATAAATGAGGAATGCTAGCAGAAGTTCATCACAAGTTTATAGCTGCATGCTGAATCACAAGCTTCTTTTATCGCTACCTCATCAAAATTCAAAATATAAGCATAAAATTTGTGCAGATAAGAGTTAAGTGTGACAGGATGAGTAAAACTACCATATAAAGCTTCAAAACCGATTGAGAATGGGTAAAGTCAACAATATATAGAAACTTAAATAGAAATCTGAAGCAAGACCATAGAAGAATTTAACTTGTATATTTCTGTGTCAGTAGAACATGATACAAGTGAACATTTTATCTATTATGTAAAAGTGTTAAACAATTAACAAATCCAGATAAGTAACAAGCCACACATGTGGTCAGATTTAATAGTGAGAAACATAAAAAATTACAACACAGGATTACTTTGTCAATCTAAATTATAAATGGTGCACCATTCTTTACACTGTGGATATGTATTGACTGTGTCCTGGTAAAACTCTATATGTGGACTATGTGAAAATCCTTTTGCTGGACTAAACCTACTCCTTGATTCCAAACACTCTACCTCTGCATGCCAAAGAGGTTTGCAAGTGTGGATTTTGTACATACTGAATAGTTTGCATAAGCTATGACTGGACTTTTCCTTTTGTGTAATCATATTTGTATAGTTCCATTCATTGGCACCCAGCACAGTGATCATGGGAAGAGAGATGATTAAACTGACAGAGGAATTTGACAGATCAAAGAAAACTAAGTACTATACATCTTAATGTAGCCAAAAACGAAGACACAAATTGCCCAAAAACTTAATGAAGCATACTTAAAAAGACATGCGGAATATATGACAAAGGCTCATAAAACTACATACAAAATTTATTATACAAAATACCAAAGACACACCATAACAATTTGGGCACTCAGTAAACTCATATACATCCTTTGCTCGCTTTCGGTTGAGTGCTTTCCATTTTCCTGTGCCGCCACACATGTCACCTAAGTCAAAGCAAGAGAAGATATTTATCAGAAAAAGTCCTATGGTATCAGTCCTTGAATATTTCCAAATGTTGTCATTTACATGTTGCATTTTGAATGGAATGCACCAATTTAATATCTCATGTGTATGGGTTCATTCAATGCGGAAATAACTTGTGAGCATGTGTTATCATAAACTGTAACCTCTTTGGCTCAAATTGAAGATTCAATGCTAGAGTGGCTTATCTCTTGCGAGACCACAAATCAACAAGGGAATATGAAATTTGTGATCCATCATCTAGCTTCTTGTGAGCTTGTGATTGCAACAGTTTGCTATCCATTTCACTGTGAGGGAAATAGGGAATCATTTAAACTCTTCACAGACAATCTGATCAACTTGAATTCAAATTGAAGGTAAGGATACCTATCCTTGGAACAGAAGATTCTGAACCAGTGCCTATATTCAGAAGTGGGAGAGATTAAGATTATGTACATATGCTGTGGAAGCCCTTGCTCCTTATACCATCCAAGCATGCCACAGTTATCTTATAAATCACAATTACCAGTTCCCGATGCCATGTTTAGATTTTTCCTGCTTCATACTACAATTGAATTCCTATCATTTGAAATGACCTGTTTACACTAATATCACATTTAAAATGTAACTAGAATATCAACCAATAATAAGATAAAAGGTTCAAACAACATATTTTAGAAAAGGTTGTTCCACAATTAGGAGAAACAAAAGACAAAGCATTAAGAGGAAATTACAAAAAAACGCTAGAGATATGCAGCCCAAAGAAGCAAATCCACTCGAACATCATCGGCTGTTGACATGCATAATTTGTTATCTGGATGGATCCCCCCTACAATATAAACTATTAAGTTGCTACATTGATTAGTACTCTTAAGAATGTGAGGAACCCTCTCTCTCCTTCAAAGTACATATTTGGCAATAACCGATCTCCACACAGGAAACAAAATTAACTTCATTAAGAAAACTACATTAGCTGAATAATAGTGTGTGACAAGGTTGTATGACCAAACTATAGCTAATATGAGTTCTTATGTGACTTCAACAATCATCAGGTATTGAAAATCCAACTAAATTTCAAAAAGGAAGTAACATGATTTATATCCAGACTTAATCCAAGTTTGTTTAATCCTAAACCTCACATGGCTCAACTTGAAATACCAGTGGACTAATTCTGGCACTAAGTCAACTCAAGCTAAATCTTATGTTGCATAAACTCATATCTAAGACAGCATTGTAAGTGTCTTGCACTTAAAAAGAATAAAAACAATAACTTATAAAAGCAGACATTGTTTGTGCAACAATTTACGAAGTCTATGGAAAAAGTAACACGACTTTTTAACTGAAAATTTATGTATTCAAGTTTTCATAGAAAATATTAGGTTCCATTTTTGTCTCGGGTATGGAATCCGACATACAGGAGAGAAATCCAGCGTTTGACATTTTCCTTTGGAGAGGGAAAAGGTACAGAAGGAGGAGCATATTGAAGGCAAAGGAAGTGTGTGGGAGGGAAGCAAAAAGAAAAAAAGAAAAATACAACTATCAAAAGCTCTTAAACAAGAAGAACAATAAGATTATAGGAATACTATGTGGTTAAGCCCTGATAACCCTGGATTTAACCATTTAAACCGAGCAGCATGACAATATGGTAATTGTAGCCAATAGTAAGGGACCAGGCATGTACAGGAACCTGATTGGAAATGTAAATACAAGTTGATACATACTGGTCTACTGATTTTTTTAATCCTTACTTTAACATGAGGTTTGATTAGCTACATCAACTGACATTAAAGTTACATCTTATTGTCAGTTTTATTATGGGCCAATTTGTCTACTTGAGTTCAGTTATAGGGCTGGTCAGATTTGGTTGGAGTCTTTAGCGGATCATGTTTTGTTTACTAAAGTTGAGTCAGGGTCTATGTTCTAAATGCTTCTATTAAGAAATTCATAACCGTCTGGACGTCTGTCTCCATTTTCAGTACCTAAACAGTCCTATTAGTATAAAACTCCAGTTAAATTACATGATGGGGTATTTTAGGGAGATCTTAACTGTAAGATGACTTTAGTTTAGTCAAGTGTAAAAATTGTAAGCTGTATTACTATTACAACAGAAGGGGTTCTTTTACTGACACATCACAGACCTTCCTTTCATGCTAGTTATGTTTTCTATGCTTCAATCTCTCCATCACAATATGCAACACCTCATTCTGCTAAAAGTTATCCTACAGGAGATCTTTTATAATTAAACAGCAGAAATGATGTTTCTATAAAGACCTGACCTTATACAGCTTTCTTGATATATCAAAAGAAAACATAATGTGTATCAATACAATTCTTACTGGACAGCTTTCTGCTGGTCAGACCTAACCACAAAACCAATCTTAGTGTCATTGGATCAACCAGAGAGTAGGAAGTGAGTTTATTTCATCAAAACTCACCATTCGTGTAATAAACTGCCAAGGCTTCTTGCATGTTTTCATTTGAATCTCAAGACCTGGTGAAATACCTAATTACTAATTTCAATTATCGAAACCTGAAAATATCAGTGTGAAAAACCTAAGGATTCCACATTTACCTCTTACATCTAATAATATAAAACTTTGATTTCATAAAGCTGATAGGTAGTATTGAAACAGAAATATATATAAGGTAGTAGAACCACTTGAACAACATAATTAGAACACAGGAAAAAAAATATAAGAAAGGAAGATGTCTCACATAATACTACGCCACTTCCAGCACAATTTCGACATACAGATTTTAATTTACTAGAGGAGCCCTCCATCTTCTCTGAGGCAAGTCCAGTGGGTGCATAGAATGAAGGACCAGAGATATTTATTACTGCTAGAGATGCACATAAACAAGTAAGGCATTTACGTCTTGAAGGCAGTGACTTAGTTTCCTGCATGAGAAAGTAAGACATTAACATGGTCATATTCCAAAACAAGAAGATTTAGAAGGTTATCAAAATTTTAAACATCTTTTAAACAAACAAGGTATAATCATAAGAGTATCTATTATAGTAATGTATATTTCTGTACATCTAATGAGACAAAATAATAGTACATAGATGATCCTGAAGCTATTTCAGCAATTGGCCCATGATAGCTCACAATAACAATAAGGGTCCTATCACAAACTATATCGTCCAGCAGTTGTCAGCATAATTGGTTGACATTCACCTTGACGCATACAAAAGTTCATAACCAGCTTTCTTATAAACTATTAGAAAAACATGTCTTGTTAACTATAACATGCATTTCAGATAGAGTTGCCATGAATTGGACAAAGAAACTGACATAGATCTATTTGATCTAGACTTCTGTAATGATGACTCAAATCCAATGATTGATTCAGTATGTGCACTGAAGAGCCTAACAGCAGAACCACAGGTCCATCTTGTTTCATTCTTGAGGGAGTCGAAGAAGAGGTACAGTAGAGATCCCAGGAGATTGATCAGGACACAATCAATAAATATCATTGACTACCTAGCTTGCAGGAGTCAAACTGATGAAGGACCGATATGGGTCCCAAATGATACTTCAAACCTTGATAGAGAGACTCTTGAGCATCATCTGCCATATTATTTAAGTGGTCTTTCTACCTCCTAAAACAAGTTAGTTATAAGCTTGTACATCTAGCTTGTGTAGAATATTAAGTTGTATTGAGTTGAGCACACGGAACTCCCTTTTGCCTGGACGTACTGGTCCAGGTGTGAACTGGTACATGGACTGAACCCATTTTGAGCTGTCTAGTCTGGCTATATATATAAAAAAAAACAATTGCATATCCTCCTACTCATGCTCGTGATCGAGCCCTAGTCACAAGAGCCTCATCGTGCATAGTCACCCTCTGTCATGCACTAGGATGCCATTTAGGTGCACTCCTCTTCTCCTCTTCCTCCTTCCTCCACCGCCTCCTCTTCCTTCCTATTCCTCCTCCTTCCTCCTACACCACCTTCTCTTCTTCCTTCTTCTTCCTTCCTCTTCCTCCATTAACTAGTCTTCTTCGGTACATACTGGTCTACCAAAGAGAAAAATTCTATCTAGGTCTGCAAAAGAGAAGATTTGACCCTGGAAAACTGACAAGTTTCTCTCTGATATTGGAAAGAGACAAGCTACCTCTAATTTGAAAAGTGTAGGAAAATTTTTAATCTCTAACCTGGAAAAAGGAACCAGGTAATGTTCTTGATCTTGGCAAAATGCAAAAGAATGAATGTAGAATTTACTCTAGAGATAGGGGTACAATTTGTTTGATCTTCACCAATGGAAGAAATCTTAATGAACAGGTTACTTCAAAGAGTAGAGGAGCCTAACAATGGATGTAGTCAAGTTTTCTGAGCTAGTATAAATCTTGCATCTCCTAGATCTTTTACTTGATCTTTGTATATAAGATTTGTGCTTCTTACTAATCGGGCTTTGGGAAATTTAAAATTTCTTTTATTTCACTCCACAAAGCACAAATTGACTCCCCTCTTGGTGCATAAAAGGTCCAATAAGCCTTTCTGGAACACCACTTCTGTTACAATTGTAATGAAGTTGGGAGCTACACAGGATGCAGAAACAATGAAATCCTCCCACCAACTAACCTTATCCATGGAAGCATATTTTATGTATCAGCAACATAAGTTTCTTCTAAGCAATAGACCAACAAGTCATTAGTTGATTTTTGACTTGCTCTGGATTGTGTTTTACACAGCTCCTTCATGGTTCATCAAGGAGTTTCTGTGTCATGTTTGAGTGCAACACTTATATTAACAAACCTTAACCTAAATTGAGGAGCAATGATGCATCTTTTCATCAATGTGAATCTAGAATACCAATTGTTCCTAGTGCGAGAGCTCGTGTAAACAATGATAATAGTTATATACAACTGCATAAATACAATAAATGATATCCAAATATTTACTTTGCACATGGTTAGGCATTTTTTAAAAAGCTATTTCAAGTTGGTTCCATATTTGTGGAACCAGAAATTAACTATACGTTGGTGCCAAACCCATTGTAGTCACAGGATAGCAGTCTCTGGTAACATACTGTAATGTGTCATCTTTAGAATTCACAATCAAGTGCAGAAAGGGATTAAAATTTGAAAAAGTAGTCTAAAGGTCATGTATGCATGCTCAGTTCATATTGGATTCAATAGTAATCTTATGCCTCGGTAACAAAAGAAGGAAAAAAAGAAGCTTATAGATGCAATACTTCCGTGCACAGAAAAACCCTAGCAGAAGAGAGACAATTTTAGTGAAAGACAAATGTGAATATATATATATATATATATATATATATATATATATATATATATATATATATATATATATATATATATATATATATAGTCAAGAATTTAAGTTTTAAAGAGCTCCAAAAAAAAGCAGATCATCTAACCTTCATGTTAATTTTGCCCGATGAAGATTCAGGGTCATTGTGCTTCATAGCTTCTTCCTCCAAATTGGAGCTGACATGAAATTTAGCTGTCATTGGATTAGTTAGTTTTGACATGCAAAAGCATGAAGCACTTTGGATGCTGTAAAGATCTATTATTTAAAATTGAAATAAATGGAACCCATAATATATATCGATCACACGTCGAAATAAGTGACAGGTACTTCCTGCAGCAAGTATGAACAACTTAATGGAAGAATATACTGAATACTTTGTTAAGAAGACAATGCAGTAAAAACACCAGCAAATGATAGATGACTTTCAAAAAGTACACAAAATCAACCATTGTGGTTTTACATAAAAACATAGAAGATCAACACTACAGCTTTGAAGCCAGTTACTTGTACAATTGATTGTGAAAAGAAAAGGTACAACATCGAACCAGATTCTTATCTTGCAAAACCAAATTCAAGTCAAGTGTTTTTTCCATTACATACTGTGATGTGTATGGATATACAGTTACAGTGTAGCCATGAAAGATTTTATTGAAAGTTGATAGTTCAAATTCTATGTTTCCACTTATACTGAAAGGCAAGTTTATTATCAATCTTTCTTAAAGAATTTTTTATCACTTTCATCTATGCAACTTTAGGCCCTCTCCTTGTTCTGTTTATTTAGTGCACTTCCAAACTGATGTTATCATAATACAGCTTAAGTACTCTACTCATGTTTCCTACTTTTCCACGTTATCCAATTCAAACCTCTCACTTATCTCATGTTTTCGTTTCCTGATTCTAGTATGTTTTAACAACAGTTTCACATAAAGATACTCATCTTTCATATGCATTTGTATGATAGTAGTTTCTCAACAAACATTGGCTTATGCCCACAAAACAACTGAATCTCCTCAAGGAGAAAGGAACAAATTATTGCATCATTCAGGTCAGGCACAAGTTCACAACATCTGGGTATGCTCAAACGAAACAGAATTAGAGTGCCCAATTTTCTGCAAAGAAGAAAACAAGTCCGCTATCGGGTGACAGTTACAGTTAATTGTCGTTCCTGTCATCATCATCGCTTTCCACTAATTTATACTTCGTAGACAAAAACCCAGTACTATTTCATACCTCAAATCACCGACAGAAACAAAAGAAATTAACAGCTAAAAACATACAAGAAATCTGCAGAAAGAAGATGCCTCAGATCGTGCAACCTAAATTTACTCAAGAAACCTTTTTAATGATATTACAAAATGGTATCTTCTGCCACGATTAAAGTGGGAGAGAAACGAACTCACCGCCACCACTCGCGAAGCCACCGCTTCTGCTTCTCCATCGACTCCTGCAGAAGACAGGAGGGAGAGCGGCCGAGAGGAAGACGCTACAACTGCTCGCCAACTCCATTCCCACCTTTCCTCTCCCACTCCGCTCTGGCGTCTCGGCCACACTTGGGTGCGAAGCAGCAGAGCCCGCCACAACCACAGGCCGGGGTTATCTTCGGGAAACCACGCATAGAAGTGCCCACGCGAGACTCCACGTGGAGTGCCAGCTGCCGTCGAATGGATCGCCGTAGCCGTTAACAGCAACCCGTTACATCCGATTAAAACGGCCGCTATGGATCCTCCCCATATCATAGTTAAAATCTCATTCAGCCAATCTCCCAAAAACATTTTTCTTTAAAGATAACTTAACAATATCCACTAGATAACACCTTAAACATTGATTGATGATAATATACCAAACTCTTTTATCAAAATGGAGGGTTTGAGATATCAACTAATATATTTTTAGCATGTATCAGCTACTTGGTAAATATATTGATAATTTATTATAAGATCTCGTCTTTATCATTTATTCTAAAAAAATCTACAAAATAACTCGAGATAATAAATTCTTAATTTAGAAATATATATAAATGTGCACCACCATTATATTATAATTTTTTTAAATTTTTTTTAGCCACCACTTAAAGTTGTAAATATAAAGTTTTTAGGGAAACCAATTATATATCTCTCGATATTAAGATGAAATTAGAAAAATTAAAAGAGTAAGACTCTTTTACTCCTTAAGTTTGACCTCCGAGAATCCAAGAAGTTAATTATATATTAACTCTTATAATTAGTTATATTTAGTATTCTAATTTTATATTTTTAAAAGTTATATTTGGATTCTTATACTTATGAAAGTGAAATATTGAGATCGGTTAAAAAGATATTTTCATAAGATTAAAAATAAAAGATTGTATCAAATGAATATAAATAAATAATTTATTTTATTAAATATAGAGATCTCAATACAATTTTAATAGTATCATCAGATTATATATATATTTATATATATATATTCTAATTAGGTGAGTTTATCTTGCGATTTGATATTTTGAAGATAAAAGGAAAATTAGTACCATCACGATCATAAATTACATCAACAGAAGATGACACAAATCTTACAGTTGGACGGTAGCCTCACACTAATGCTACGGAAGGACCAAAGTCTCAATAGAACCCTCCTAAAAGGAAGAAAAGTGGATTCGGTCCACCTAAAAAAGCAGCAGTAGTACTCCTCCACTATACTCCCCTGCTTTCTGAATCTGACTTGGTCAAACTCCTCAGCCTTCGAAGAAACCTCACCCTCCTCTCCCACCCGGCTCTCCTCTTCCTGCCTCTTGCCTTCTCCGGCGATTCCTCCCAGCTCCATGCCGCCGACCCCTCCTCCTCTTCCTCTCCTCCTCCTCCACCACCGCTGTCACCACTGCTTCCCACTCTCGCCTGCAGCTCCGCCACCATTTTCCTCACTGCCTCCTCTGGCTCCTCCCTGTGCCGTAACAGCACCTCCCCTACCTCCGCCGGTGTCATCTCCGCCCCTGCCCGAATACAACTCTCCGCCACTCTTAACATGTCATGCTCCGTCGCACCGACGTACCGCTCGACTAGCTCCCTCATTGCATGCGCTCCACATGCCCCCAGCCTCACATGCACGTCCATCCTCCCCGGCCGCAGCAGCGCTGGGTCGACTGCTTCCGCATAGTTAGTCGTGAACACTATTACCCTCTCCTCTCCGCAGCATGACCACAGGCCGTCGATAAAATTCAGCAGCCCTGACAATGTCACCCTCCCATCATTGCTATTGCCGCAGCACTCATCTTCGGAGTCAGAACTATCGTTGCTGATCGAAGGTTGGGGTCGCTTTCTTGCTGCTCTTTTCCTGCTGGCAGCAAGAGCTGCTGCAGAGGATTTCGCGGTACCACGGCGGTCGCCAGTGAGGTCGAGAGAGCAATCGATGTCCTCAATGACGATTACAGAGCGATTGCTTGTTTGGATGAGCAAGGAGCGGAGGTCTGAGTTGTGGGAGACTCGGGTCAGCTCCAAGTCGTAGACGTCGTAGCGGAGATGGTTGGCTATCGCAGCAATGAGCGAGGACTTGCCGGTGCCCGGTGGGCCATGCAGAAGGTACCCGCGCTTCCATGCACGACCAGTGCGGCGGTAGAACTCGCGGCCCGCCGCGAATGCATCGAGATCGGCGAGGAGGCTGGTCTTGACTGGGGGATCGAGAGCGAGCGTTGCAAACGTAGCCGGGTGACGGAAGGGAACAGAGGACCACGACGGTGGCCCGCCGCGGGGAGAATTGGTGTAGAGGCGACGGGGGCGGGAGGAGCGCTCGAGGTGGTCGGCCTTGTCAGATAGGTGGGAAAGGTAAGAGCCGAGAAGAGCAGCAGCCGCGCGCTTTGGCAAGCGGAGGGAGAAGGAGCGGCGCTCCTCGAGGGAGTCCTGGAGGGTGTCGGCTTGGTGGGTCCAGAGGAGCCTGTGGCCGGCGAAGGAATCCTCAAGAGACTGGTTAGGGGAGAGGGAGAGCGAGGGAGCGGCGGCGGAACCGCGAGGGAGAGAGAGGGTGAGGCGAGGAGGAGCCGACACTGAGACGGCAGCAGAGCTGAGGAGGGACTGGTGGAGGTAGAGGTGGACATGGCGGTAGAGGTCGTTGGGCTCGACGGCGGAGGAGCCGAGGAACTCGGGAACGTCGAAGTAGGAGTAGGGGGTGATGGAGTCTTGGAGGGACTGCCACATGGAATGGAGAAGGGAAAGAAGCTGAGAAGGGAGAATGTTTTGGAGGATGGTCAGTAAGCCCAAGAGTGACCACATCTGCGATAGCAGCTCCATTTTCTTCCACTGCAATCGTTGCTGCTGCTGCTGCTGCTGCTGCTGCTTCCTCCAACTAAGCTTCGAGTGTTTGTATCCTTGTGGATGAAGGTTGGTAGAAAGTAGAGGACGAGGGGGCAATGTCTAAGGCGTATATAAAGGGTAGTGAAAGAGAAGGGTGGCATTGGAGGGAATCGGGCAGCATGGGAATATTGGGAACAGTCCATGGAACGAGAGAAAAGAAGATAAAGGCATTAAAGTGAAAGGAACGGAGCAGCTGAGAACTCTGCTTTGTGTTTTGCTTTTCTTTGCTTCTTTTTGCTTTTACTTTTTCCTTTGTTTTGCTTTCGTGCCTCGAGGGAAGGAGAAGGTGATAGTGATGGAGGAGGGAGAAGAAGAAATGCTTGTTTGAGCCCAGTCCGTGCACACGAAGAGTAGCTGACTTGCTGAAACTTTCTAGCTTCATTTATAATGCTTCTTTAGTTCATGCACAAGAAAGATAATATGGAGTTAGCTCAATTCTCATTGATACATCATCTAAGAAATGCATCTCGTTGCTAAAATGTTTGATATTTGTGTGTAAACGAAGCCCCATTATAATTTGAGGATTTTATTTCTTATTTTTTAATATTATTTACATCGATCTTAGAAAAGAGATCACATAATCAAAAAAGAAAAAATCCACAATATGTGGGGTTGGATTTGGGAACAATGAGACCATGGAAAGTCATTGGAAGTGGAGCAAGGAAAGTTATAGCATGTTAGAACTAAGAGAATACACGATTTAGAGTAATGTTGCCGTCTACAATGTGAGATAGCCTCCCTATCTTCAGGAGAATTGACATTAAACACCATAAAACAGAAGGTTGGATGATCCATAAAGTCTTCTATGGGTGGTAAGATTCTTGTTATATTTGCCATTGTAGTCCAAAGTAAGAACATTCATTCTTGTTATATTTACCAGCTAAACTGAAGATCCAACATAGTTGATCTATCCAGGATATGTTCATCAATTAACTATATTTGATTCGCTTTAATTATTTAGTATGATTTAAGGATCGATTGCTTTGTCGTAAACATGTAACTTCAATTAATTTTAAATTTAAAATTATCTAAATTATTAGTCTAATTAAATTAAATTAATAATAGTAGGCAATTTACTCATTCTTAACATATGAGGAGGCATAATCCAATAATAACTATGTGAACAATTTATCGCAATCTAGTTTGAGGATTACTGATCTACTAAGTTAGTCGAGTTTGGATCAATGATCTAAAATATTTATATACTCATAAAGTTGATATTACGAGTATCCAATTGTGCGAGGCAATTGCATCACCCATCAACCTGCTTCAACCCTTCCAACTGGCCATAAAACTCCTGCATTCTTCTTCTCAAGAGGAGAAGGTTTTCCTGCCATAATCTATAGTAGTAGTAATCCATCATGGCTTGCACTTAAAGATCTTCATATAAGAACAAACCTTTTTCCATTGTTCAATCTCACCTGTGTGAAAAATACAAAGAAAAAGCATTTATTCTCTTCCCTCTCGTATTTTCTTTAGACAAAGCCAAAGCCTTTAGTCTCCTCCTCGTATGCCCTTTGTTGACATACAACGCTGCTGGCCGAGGAAATTGGATGCTATTTTAGCTGCGTTACAAAAGCTGAGAAAAGGATGAGAGTTATAGGTCAGTCCACGTGAAAAGGAATCAATGTTGATAAGAAAGAAATAGACCAAAGACAAAACATAAAGGATTATAAAGAACAGCAACGAGGGAATGTCAATATTCTTTGGCCCAGACTTCTTTTGTTCCCCTCCTAAGTCACTGATAAAAGAGATGATGTTGTGAAAACTACGGTGCTGTGACGAAATTTGGTCAAAAAATAATTATAATTGATGAAAATAATAGAAGATAAGAACAATTATTAAAGAAACTTTATTGATGAAAAGAAAAAACTTAAATATATTAACATGTCCCTCTCCTATTTATACAAATGATGCTCCTGTTAAGAATATCAAGTAGAGCAAGAGCAGATCGTTGCTGTTGCTGTGAGGGCACAAGCGTTCCTTTAATTTCCCTTAAGTCCGTCTTTCGTTCTCCTTAAGTCCGTCGACCTCTTAGGAATTTGACTGTTGTGGCATTAGTCATTGACCGAAGGCAAAGACGAAGCTTTACTTTTCTAAACGGCGTTGATCATTGGTAGTTAAGAAAATCTTATCTTCTATCAATAATAAGAGACCAATTATAGTATTAGAGTTCAAATGCTTTAGATAGAATAATGATATATCTGTATCAGATTTAATTCGTCTCCTTTTATTCCACAGATATAAATATTTTCAGCAATTACGTACTGTAGGTCTCTATTATAAGTGTGTCAAGTGTGTCTTGCATCAACGAGTGAGTCACGTTTAGATTTGATTGATCTGAAGTCAACCTGTCTGTATACCTCTTGTTTGGTTTGCATTGGAGATGGCATCTTCAGCACATGATTAGGAATCCGATTAAAGTTTCATGATAGCTTTCTCGTGGGCTTGTTTTATTCCTTTAGTTTCGATTCCTGCAACTTTCTATCCCTTTCATAACCACACTCCTTATCTTTCTCTTGTCTTTAGGCTTCTCCATCAGTCTCTGCTGCTAAAGGTGCTTAGTGGCATTGAGTAGGAGCTAAAGCTTTAAAGAAAGTTGATGTCCTCAAACCAATACGACATAGTGGCTCAAGAATCTATCGCTCACAAGTCTTATATGCTCATAATTATGTTGCTCTCAAATAAATCCTCCTGACTGGGAACATGAACACAAATAGGTGACTGCCAATGAAGTTACCAAAAGCAAGAGCTTGTATTAGAATAGCTTAATGGAGTTTCACGCTTGTAAAAGCTGACTTGCAACGAAATTAGAATCTTAGGTATGTGTGTTATACTGCTGCAACAGAAGAAGATTACACAGAAATGTGCAAGCCATATGCTCGAGCAGCTGTCATGTTGTCATTATCTTTAGCTAAAAGCACTTTAGCTTCGCTCGAGTTAAAGAACACTTTTCAGAGGTGAATCCTTTTAGCTACAAGACAATGCTCGGATAGGACGAGAATGACTGAAACCTCAAAGTCAAGAGAGCTTTTCTTTGCTTGGAAATGCATTAGTTGTTGTACACCTGAATTATTATGCTTGAAGAGCTGCCGAAGAGAGCTCTTCTTCATGCCTTGGCCACGAATCGCTTGTGATTAATGCAGACCAGAGTTCTTTGCATCAATTCGCTTGTGATTAATTTGTAGCATGGAATCTTATCCTATTATTTGGAAAGATTGTGCTGTATGATCGAGAATTTAGGACTGCAATCGATTGAGTGCTCGGTCTTTTCCTTTGTTTCTGACCCCTGCAACTTTTCTCTCTCTTTCTTAACCACTCTCCTTATATCTTTGGTTTATCTTTATGCTTTTCTACTTGGGCTGTTGATAAAAGCTATTAGGTGCCATTGATTAGGAGCTAAAGCTTACAAAAGCTGAGATGGTCATAGTTGCACAAGAATCTATCATCAGGTATGAAGATGATATGCTCATGATTATGTTATTTCCAAATCCATCGTATTGGGAACATGAACAAAAAGGCAGAACCTTCTCCTCTACTAGTTGAGTATATGAACATGGAGAGTTGAAGCATTTGAGAAGCAACATCTGCTGTTACAGGAAAGTCATCAGCTGTATAATGACTGCTCTTCATTTCAAACAAGAGATCGCCTTGACACAAGATTTGAATCAAATGATACTCAATGTAGCATTCAAATCTGCTGGTTTTTTAGTGTCAGGCAGGTGAATGGCACGCAGGAGCACATAGTTAAAGCTAACAAAGAGGTAACAGCTTGTATTGGAACAGATCAATGGGACGCATGCTGGTAAAAAGTGGATTTTTAGACTCAGATTAAAGTCTTGGCCATGTGTGTCAGACAGATTCCATCTCTAAGATTTCAAGAGTCCAGAAATGTGCAAGCCATTTGCCCATTCAGAGCAATCTTGATGTCAATGTCTTTTGCTAAGAACACCTTTAGACCCTTTTTACTAGATGCCAATGCAATGCATTCAATCTTTCATGTGTTGATGTGTCTCTACCATTAGCTGCTATATTGACAAGTTGGATGAAGTTCTTTGGTGTGCCATTTTATGAGGATGAAACATGCAACGAAAATTAGAAGTCTAAAATCTGTAGAGAGAGAGAGAGAGAGAGAGAGAGAGAGAGAGAGAGAGAGAATTAGGACACATATTTCAAATCAATGATGTTATCTCATCTACATGAAACTGCTACTCACCCAGCTTTTTTCTTGAAGGCATAGAAACAGTGAGTGGCACGCATTAGCAAATCAATAAAGGGAAACATCCTCTATTGCAAAAGCTCAATGGGGCCGCATGCTTGTAAAAAGTGGATTTTTAGACTAAACTTCAAAATCTTACCCATGTGAGTTAGATTCCATGTTTAGGGGAACCAACAGAAGAAGATTGTACAAAGAAAGAGAGAAAGGGAAGGAAAATTAAAGATTCCTGAAATGTGCAAGCCATATATGCTCCACAGAAGTTTTTTATCCATAAAAGTCTTTTGCTACAAGATTGAGTGAGTTATATAGTTCTACAAAATTGTCACAACATGGGCTAATTGGCCGTCAACTTTATCGTCTGAGTTAAATCATTGATTCGACTCCAATTGTCACTAAACAAAATGTTTAAATTAATATTGATAAAATTATATTCATCAGATCCTATGAGTCAATCTAAGTGTGTCATTTTACTTAAATTTTACTCATTTAACCTCCCCATAAAAATTAATTTTTCAGTAAAAACTGAAAATTGGATATAATCTTATGGTCTTTTGACAAAAACAAATGTATTGGTATGTTCAATGTAAAAAAAAACAAACAAACAAAAATTCATAAATTGACTGAAATTTAAATGAGATGATAACCTTATCGATTCCGTCAATAAAATTTTATTGAAAAAGTCCTAAGATTTAATTATTCTTTGCAAACAATAAACTGAATCAATCTTGACTCCTAAGAAACATCATACAATTGAATACATATGACATGAAATCATAATTATCAAGAATCGGACTAGACATTGATTCGATCTCATCTTTAGTCATTGGGTCATTGGTTGAGATCGATTGATCGACTGATCCTATCGCAAGTTTAATATTTTTTAAAATAAAAACAAAAATATATTAGATTAAATATATTGATAATATTAAAAAAAAGTTTATAAAGATGAAGTGGTTATGATCCCTATCAACTTAAATCTGGACATCAATCCAGCCATTTTGTAGCTGTATCTGTCAGGATTATTAAAGACTACGAATGAAGACAGTAGCAATTGTGAGGAGAAGAGCTTCGACATAGGAACATCCATCCGTCCCATGAAGCCAACGTATTGTACAGAACACGCCTAGCTGCTATTATTTTGGCCATTGTCATCATCTCCTTGGAGTAGAATAGCATGTATCCACTCGGTCCCTCGGATCAATCGATGAACTCGTTTGGTTCCCATGAAGCATTCTCGTCCAACGAATACAAAAAGATCCACTTTCTGGTTCTCCTCTCTCCTCTTTCCTTCTCTTTGCTTCGGTTTCGAGGAACAGAAAGGCATGAGTTCTGAGCAGGATGATCAGCAACGTCGCGGCTGTTGCAGTAGCCTCGCCGGTTTCTTTTCTGTTCTCTCGGAGTCTCAGCACACAAGCATGCCAAGACTCGATAAGAAGGTATCCGACATCCACAATTATGTTTGTGTATGTCTGTCTCTATTGCACTGGTTGTTATATAGTCTCCTATTTCTGGGCAAGATTAATGAGCTCAAAGAGGAGGTTCGACGACAGAAAGAGCTCAAGGAGACCTACAAAGCCCGGCTCGAGAGGACGCAGGATTATCTCAGGTACTGTTTAGAGGTGGCAAAGGAGAATGGATTCTTGCACCACATGTCCGACGATCAAGAAAGCACTCTCCCCACGCAAACCGACCATCAGCAGCCAAGTTTACAGGCAGTGGATGTGGTGCCGAGTGACCCTCGTTTGGCCGCCGTGATGGATCAAGCTAAGCTGAATGGTTGGTACGTTGAACCGGAGGAGGTAAGTGCCGTCGTCTCCTCTTCTTGCACAAAGCTCTTGCTTCAGCAATTAAAGCTCACAATTTTTGCTTTTGTAGTTGTAATGAATGCAACCAAAAATGATCAACCTACACTAATTATAAATGAGTTTTGAATACTTAATTTCCAAAAACACAAAAATCTCGAATCCGGTCGGTCCTTTGACTCCTTCTTTGTTCATATGCTTTAACATTAATGACGTCTTGTTCATATGCTAGCAGATAGAGTTGCATGAACAAATTGGTAGAGGAACTACTGCCGATATATACCGAGGGACATGGAGAGGGCTTGGTGTTGCCATCAAATGGATTCACCCCAGCGTCTTCGATGCCAACGGAAGCGGCCAAGCCTGGTTCGCCGAAGAACTCCACACTCTGTCACGCCAACGCCATCCCTACGTGCTGCATCTCATGGGCGCATGCTTCCACACGCCACAAAAGGGATGGCTGGTCACCGAGCTCTTGAGTGGGAAGACGTTAGCGGAATGGCTGCATGGGCACAAGGAGAGGCGAAGAGGACGGTCTGTGCCTCTTCCTCCTCTGGCGGAAAGGATAGAGAAGGGACTGGAGGTCGCCATGGCGCTGCTGTATCTTCACCAACAGAAGCCCAGGGTCATCCACAGGGATCTCAAACCAAGCAACATACTTTTGGACGCCGCTACGCACGCTCGAGTCACGGATTTTGGACATGCTCGGCTTCTTGCTGACGGAGAGCAAGCTCTCACCGGTGAAATGGGTAAGACCGACAGACCATGACTGTCACAGTACACAGTAGTCTGATTGATCGATCGCGTGTTTCGTTTTGGATGATGATTAGGGACTTTCGTGTACATGGCTCCTGAGGTGATCCGTTGTGAACCCTATACGGAGAAATGTGATGTTTATAGTTTTGGCATCATACTGAATGAGCTGATCACCGGTGAGCATCCCTACATAGAGACGAGCTTTGGTCCCGCTAAGGTACGATTCATTTACCTGCTCCGGTCCTCGAACGATATATGTATGTTAACGATTCCTTCCAAATATGTGGTCTAATCGCCATGAATGACTGAGATCTAGTAGTCTAATCTGTGCATTTCTTCATGGCAGATTGCGCTCGAGGTGAGTGAAGGCAGGCTTCGGCCAAAGCTGCCCGAGCATGATCATGAATGCAGAGAGCTCACAGAGCTTATATGCTGTTCTTGGAGTGATGATGCTTCAGCTAGACCCTCCTTTGCAGCGATCAACTTGGCTCTTAGGAAGATCATTGACAAGTTAAAGTAGTGGCCAAGTCCAATTTGCAAGGCATTTTTCTTACTGTTCTACAAGGAGAGGGAGAGGGAGAGAGAGTGGGAGGGAGGGAGGGAGGGTACAGTTTATAAACTGACATCATGACATGCCAAATGAAATATGGTGCATCTATCTACTTCAGTTAGATTGCCTTCAAGCATAAGCCAATACTGTTGCAAGGCAAATACGATACTGGTTTATTTCGCTAAGAAACAATATTTCTCTGTTTAACTAACAAGAAAATCCAATTTTTAATCCATGTCAGTATATAAGTATCAAGAAACCCTTAAACTGCTGGTACAAGAGGATCAATTTTCCATTGGTAATTTAGCGAAAAGAACCTTTCTGTATATATGTAAAAGAAATATAGTGTAGAATAGTACTTTGAAACATGAAACAGGGAAACATTAAATTACATGTAACAAGATTGTTTTCTCCAAGCCAGACATATATTAACACAATAAAAGTTACTGCAGTAAGTAAATTAGAAGATACCCAAGTTCATTCAATAGTGAGCAAACCAAGTGTAGTTGGAGAGAGAAGTATCATCACAGTTCTAGTTTCAAGAAAACAAACATAATGACAAAAAAATGGCAGTTAATTACCACAGGTATGGAAGTATTGGTACTGGAAAAAATTATTGCAGTATGCCACTAAAAGGTTTTAAGAGCAATGTTTTTATTAATTTGTGAAAAAGTAAGTTCAAGGTTAAATCACTGCATAAATTTTATCATGAAGTAAAGCGAACCAATGGACTAGTGAACCAAGGCTCAGCCGGCTCAATTCTCAGTCCGGATTTGATAACTAAGATCATTAAAGAAGTAAATTGATCTGAACCTTTTCATGCATTCTGCAACATTAGCAACATTAGAGTAGAACAATATCAACAATTAGGCTAGGATTAGGGAACAAAATACTGCTGATGCCTCGAGTCAAAAAGTCAATCTAGTTATAAATATGGGGACACCATGGTAGGAGACGCAAATGGATTTCAATTTCTCCAAATGACTTTAAAGATATAGTAATACTATCAGAAGAAACAATATAAGTCATGAAAACTGCATTAATAAATAAATCCAACTAACGCACCTGCTCCACAATTAGCACCGCAAGTACAACACCAACTTTTGTGAAAAGAACACACGAGCTTCCATGATCCAGAATGGATCATTTGACAAAGAATTTAAGTTGTTTAACAAAAATTCTCAGCTTCAATGTCTATAACAGAGAACAGCGCTTCGCTCAGAATGGTACATCTATCTGATCAAGAAATATCTGCATAGAACTCAGCGAGTTGAAGATCACTTCTGACTGATGTAAAAAACCAAACAATATCTGAAGGTTGAGAAACCATGGTGTATATTTTTTTTCATATGCGAAAGAACCATAAATTCTGAATGATGAATTAATAAACTGAGACCTCAGCATCAATAAAAATATCCTTGGTCCACTGCAACTGAAGCATGATAAAGCTCGATCCAGATTCTGGCAGTGATAACTTTCAAGTTAAAAGTAAAATGGTGGTTGTATTAGACCAGAATTCATAATTCATTCTCCCCGTGTGCATTAGAAAGATACGAGAATCCAGTAACAATTATGTACAGAGCTTTCCAATCAAGTCAAGGAGGTATTTGCTCTCCATGGAAGGATTAACTGTGTCTGTCTTCACAACAGTTATTTTCACTCGCTGCTCTTCACCATAGTGTTCTTCCTTGATTTTGAGCCTAAATAGGTACTGCTCAAAGAGGCAACGCCGAATGATGTCTCCAAACTTTTTATCATCATGCTCTTGATGTTTTAGCTGATAGAGCTCCTTCGCGGAGCAACCAATGATCTCCTCTCCAGACTCCTGGAAGGCTGTCACCCAAGTCACTCCTGTATGGTCCTGCACTTGTGCCTGAAGAAGATACCGATAATCACATTCTTCAAATTCTTTAGAACATCTATCACAGCACCAGTTCCCACTAGCAAGCTTTGTCACCTTCTTATTACATGGCCTATCACCAATTAGTAAAGGACAAGCTGTGTAACAGAAATTATCTGTCTTGATGAATGAGATGGTGGCTTTGACAGTCACCCAGTCAGGCTTATTCCCCCTTCCAAGACCCTCATCTTTGATCTGCGACACGGTCTTCCGGCTATCATTTAAAGCAAGCCCAGGCATCATATCTTTAGAAATGGAGTGGCTGGAAGCATCCTTTCCTCCTCCATCAAACCATTCTCTCAAGATATAAGTCTCAGGAAGATCAGGATCTATAAAGAGTTGGGTGGAAGAAATTGTGCCAACTGACTTACCACTGAAGTCACTAACCTTTCCTGCCTTCACAGCTAATGCAGGGAATAAACCAGAACCAAGCTTCTCCTGTAGTTGTCTACCTTCTCTGTTGCAGAAGTCTCCCCATAAAGTTAGCTCAACACTTCGACCAGACACATCCTTCAAATTAAGAATTCTTCTTTGTGTTTCCATACCATTCTTCCTCAGTATTGTCATCGAAGGGTTAATAGATTCAACAATCCCAATAATATCGATGATTGAATTGTTCTCTGCATTCTCTATATCAATGATTTGTCTGAAATTAAAATGTTGTGTTGGAATAGAGCTGTCTTCATCTGGACAACACTCCAAAGTTGTTGTCGACTCCAAAAATATTTCCCATTGATTGTTGAGGTGGTTAAAGTTCTTCTGCGCAGGTTTTAAGCTTCCCTTTGAAATTAGGTAAATCTTTCCAACCTCCACAGCTTCATAGAACCGGTCAACAACAGCGTTGAAACAAGTTGCACGTATCTCTCCTCCATCTGAATCAAGGAGATCAAAGGAGAACACTTTGCCATCTCCCTTAGCATTATTATATCGCCGGATGTCTCCTTTGGCTGTCACTCTTGCTTTGATGGCCCATCGCCCCTGATAAGGATTTAGAGCAGCTATCGGAATTACCCTAGCAGGTGCTTCATTTTTCATGATTGACCCATAGCTCTTGTAATTGGATGGAGGCCGATAGACGGATTGCACATTGAAGTTCTGGACTTTGTTGCCAGAGTTCATTGCTGAGCTGGAAACAAGTTTTGCAGCCGGGACTAGTGACTGAACTCTTGAATTCCCAAAATTGCTACTAGATGATAAGTCAAGAGTCTCTGATGCAAATTCTGGATGTAGTTTGCGATTCCCAATAGTCTCACAATCTCTAATTATAATCTTCATTTCCAAAATGACAATGATCCTGTGTCATGACTGGATCCATTATTAGTAAAAAAGTAAAAAAATCTGAGAAGGCATATTTAAACATATGAAATTCTCAGAAAAAGATGCATCATGTATATCTCCCTACTATATGGGGTTGGCTACACCGACCTTTTTCTGCTATTGAGTTCTAATTAAGGAACCATCAGAATTATGGATGAAAGAAAGATACAATTTCTGCTTCATTTTGAAGATGAACCAAAAAATGATTCATCTGAACTCTAACAATATTTCCACATCAGACATACTCTTTCTCCAATTTGCTCCTCTACATATAACGTACTTACCAAATACAAAATAAGGACAGATATACATATATTTACAATAAAAGAATATATTTTTTAATTATTTTCAGTGCAATTCAAAATCTCCATTTGTATCAAAGAGAAAGGGGAGAATCAAAGAAGCGATCGATAGACAAACCTCTGGTTCTTGACGGTGCTGCAAACGTACTCCAGCAACTGGACGACGGACCCACTCCTCACCGCGCCGCTCTTTGCGGCCTCATTGAATTTGACAGCCAGCAGCGCTTTCTGCGCCGCGGAGCCGTCAGACACCACCGCCCGGTACCGCTCCTGCGGCTCAGCTATCCGCTTCAAATCCAGCACCTGCACTACAGGCTTCAGGTCGAGATCGCCATCGTTCACCGCCGCGATCGCGTTCGCCGTCAACCGCGCCGCCATCCCCCGCGTCCAACTCCCGCCTCACGAGCCGATAATCGAGATGGAAGGCTGGATCTGATTCTTGCAGCTCCAATCGGCGACGAGAAACCGAATAATATGGGCAAGAGCTGGGAATTCAGGGATTAGAGAGCTTAGAAATCGATAATTTAGGGCTCGAGGAGAGCCAATGAGGTATGGAGGATAACCGAACACGGAGTTTCTCGGGGCCGTGATTGTTACGGTTGAAGTGAATTAAAAACTTAAGCATATATATATATATATATATATATATATACATTCTAAGATTTACTTTAAAATATTATAAATAATCTAAATAAACTATTAACATCTACCAAACTTACTATGAGTCTAAGAATATGATATTATAATGATATATGAGTAATGATAATCAATAAAAATAATATAATATCACTGATGATATTTTTTATAATATTTACAGTATTTTTAATGTATTAATAAGAGATTATAAATATTAAAAAAATAATATAAACGATCCAAATAAAAATATTGTAACAGTTTCAATCGGTAAAAATAAAAAAATAAAAAATTTAACAAAAGATTTTTTGATGAGTATTTTTTTAAATTAGGGGTATTGTTTGAAAAAAGTAAAAAAAGGGATGTCTTTTAAAAAATACTTTTTTTTTAAATCACACACACACAACATATATATATATATATATATATATATATATATATATATATATATATATATATATATGGATACAAATGCCTAAAATGTATTTAAATAATTACCTAAAGGATACAAATGAATTTATATGGATACAAATGTATTTAAATAATTACCTAAAGGATCTTTTCTATAATATAGTCATGGTTAAATGCCTAAAATGGTATACACCTTCTTGATTACAAGTGTAATTATGTAGCATTATGATGATATATCGCGTGACGATGATGTGTGTGGAATGATTCACGTGCTATAATCTACCTATCAAATATGATACTTATATAAAAATCTTAAGTTTCTCGATTTCTTCCGTTCTAAAATATATTTTGGGTGCTGACCTCAACGTTTAATGTCTTATCATAAGATATTTATTTTGATAGACTAAAATAAATCATTTATGTCCATTAATATATTTGATTAATATGATTGATGGTCATGTTGTTGTGGCAACTCCTCGAGGCTTATCAGCAAAATTAAGGTGACGTAAGTAAGTAGACTCATCGTGTGAGGGGCATCGAGGTTTGACATAAAGAAAGACTCAAATATAAATGATGTCATTAATATCCACTAATTAAGCATGGCAATATTTGGTAAAAGGAGTGTTGATGCCACGGTAAAAATGGCAACAAAGGCAATCATCATAGAGTTATCCTTCCTTCCTAAGCGACATGCTATTGAAAACTTGAGTTGTCCGTAAATGTAAACAAACGTACACGAGACCATGGAATTCGATGCGTAGGGATAAAGATCTATTACCGATAACGAGGGGGTAGAACTCGCCGCCTGACATGGGGAGCACTGACCTGCTATCACAGGCATACGATCGGCGGTGGAGTAACTCGGGTACCCGATCATAGTGTCTATGCCCCTTCTAATATTCAAATAAACACTTAAACACTTTGATAGGAAATTAAGTTAGACCCAATTCCAACCAAATTATATGTTAATTACGAAATTTAAGACATACACTAAGTTAAATAAATATGGTAAGTCTAGGTTTCTTCCGGTGATCTTCCAGTGAATTTTTGACGATCTCTCGGTAATGTTCCAGCGGACTCCCGACAAACTCTTGGATTTCACGACGATCTTCTTAGCGAGTTCCGATGAGCTTCGTTGGCTAGCTCTTGGATTTCTCGATTAATTCCGACAGAAGTTCCGATAAACGTCCGGACTTCCGACGAACTCTTGAACTCCCAACGAAATCTCGTTCTTGACTCTGAGACTTCATATTGTTTTATGCCTTGCTATCGTAGTTAATCCTGCACACTAAAACCCATTTCGATCTAGACAATTATTACAAAGCTTAAATTAAGTGTTGTCCGGCATATCATTGGTTTATCGACGCTTCGTCTGATTATTCAGCGCATCGTCCTCTCTTGCGGCCTATTGCTCAATCGGTCAGTTGATCTCCGCAACTCCGATTTTCTTAACGTAATTTTCGCTCTTCTTGGTCCGATGCCTGAACCCATGGCTCGAAGCCTTCTGCTGTCAATACATCGATCGATTCTTCGACTTGACGTCCAATTTTCTAACATATTTTTCTTCGGTCCAACATGATTCTTCCTACTTTAATTATTTTTACCTGATTAAAGCTTCCTACGTCACTCAAAACACAGATCAAATAAACACTCTCAATTGGTTTCATCATCAAAATCCGAGATTCAACACTAATATCCAAATAAACCCCGCAAATCATCCAAATCAACGGGCTATAATAAAAACCTCGAGTCCAGTTTATCTATTAAATTTGAAATCAGATTCAAAATAATTATAAGCGATTTGGTTCATATAAAGTTTTTATCCGAAAATCATTCAAACTAAAAGACTATAATGAGTTGAACTAAAATTGAAACGGATTGTTTTATTTTTAATTTTTTTAAAAATTATTTATTTATTAAATTATTAGAAGATGCATATTCGCTATTTGGGGTGGGGGGGGCATTTAATTGTTTATATTTTTGTTATTCTTGAAACCTAATTGATGTCATCGTTTCTTGATCGGTTTGATTCCAATTGGATTCTTGATCGGATCTACTCTATGTATATAGCTAAAACCAAAACAAGACGGTAAAACGTCACCTCATATGTGGCTCTCGAAGATGAAGTGACATGATGATTGGAAATATAAGGCGCAAACTACCAAAGCCGTATCCTTACATTCATAGTTGTCCCCTTTTGAGCCCTACCAAAATGATCGCAATGTGACAACCCATCGGACTGTGATGTTTTGTTTGGGTTCCAAATCGATGGCCGGACCGGTAGGTTTCCATCACGAGCGATCACATCTTCGTAGATATATTAGTATGATATTTCTCGCAAGTTTTCTTTACTCTCTCTTAATGTTACCATCTTTCATTGACAAGAGAAAGTGAATTCATGATGCAAATGATGTTCTAGTTATCTATAAATATAAATACGATAGTGATCTAAGCAACTACTACTAGTCGATTAATAGATGGGAGTGTTCACTACCTACTTTGAACAACGAAATAAATGTGTAGCTATATGTGGAATATGAAAGAATAATAAAAAATAATAATTTATTGGAGGAGATATCATATATTATTAGGATTATTTTTTAGAACAATGGGTATGAACTCATGAATGTAGGGAGATTCTACATCTACCAAACCAAATATATCAAGGTTGGCATAATGATTTCCAAAATATTATTTAGGTTTTTTTTTTTTTTGCTACATAATATTTTGGAAAACACTCAACCCACCTTCTTAAAAGGACTAGAAGACACCTTATATTTTGATGATTTTTCTTTCTTTTTTGAGTTCTTGAATGTATGATGGCATAGTGATTTCCAAAATATTATGTAGGTTTCTTTCTGACTTGTTAAATATGGAATCAGATGAAATAGGATTATAATGGAAGAATAAAAATAATATTTTGGAACCATTATTGAACCATAAATACTTTGAACTGAAACATTTCAATCACTATATTCCCATCCATCACTTTTATGTTTCTTCCTTATGAAGTCTCAACACATTACCATTCTTTTCTAAAGTTCCTAATTGGATACAAAACTAAAAGTTTCTTGGAAACTTTATTTTCCTGGTCCACTATAAGCTTATTTCTTTTATTAGTTTATTGGTCACTGTCATTCCATTTAAATAATAAACCCTTAGATTCTTATACTCTAATGCTATAAAGATGATCTAAAAGCATAGTGCATATATGAGGCAGACCTTATTAATTATTAGGCATGTGATGTGTGTATTCCCTAAAGGCAGAAACATGATGTAGTTCAAGTGCTTTGCATGATCTGCACTTCTCCTTCACATGCATGAATGAATGCCTGAATTCTCGTTCAAATGCTTAAGGAATGAGCAACATTTCCACTTTGCGATCGTATTATTAATCGTCATCATACGTAATTAAGTGATGTATTCTTTCCTTTTTCTACAAATAATAAGTTATAAAGGTAGAATTCAAGTTCAGAATCTTGCGATCGATCATTAAAGTCTTTAACAGCCAAACTAACGATCATTTTGATCCCTTTTTTTTCTTTATTCCGATATATACTGTGATGAATTATCTTTGGAGACAATCTTTCTGAGTTAAGATACTGTCAAGAGGCAATGGTTTTAGGTCCAATTCAGCCACTCCTCCGTATCAAAGAAGGAAGCTACTGAAGTGAAGCTGAAATCGATGTCCGGCTGAAAACAATCACTCCCGATCCAGTCTTCCATGGACGGCATATCGAGCAAGAGAGTGCTGTTGGGAGACATGCTAAAACAGACAGCCTCGTCTTCTTCTCCTGGTACTAGGGGAACGCCGTCAAGAGAAACATCACTTTGAGGAGCTTTGGAGGGGCTGGTGGGTTCGGCCGTCGTCGATTCATGACGCTGGTGGTCGATTGGAGCTGGCAGGAGTCCTTGGTCCTGGTGGAAGAACGTTTTGGTGCACCTCTGGGCCTTGGTTTGGACGACGGATGCATCTCCAGCTGCTCCCGTTCCCGCCGTCGTCGAATCGGCCAGGGAGACATTCAGGATGGGCTTCGTTTGGGATGCGTTGCCGTGGACTTTCTTCCCTAGGGTTGTGTTCCAGTAGTTCTTGATTTCATTGTCTGTTCGCCCTGGCAGCCTTCCTGCGATTAGAGACCACCTGGGAAAGAGAAAACATGGCATTTCTGGATGATCCAATGTCTAACCACGCTCTTCTTTCAATGATTCGCATTTCACGACAAGGTTTTAGGATGTTTGGAGGTTGAAGTAGCCGTAAGGAGGAGGATACCTGTTTCCAAGGAGCTTGTGTAGTCTGATGATGAGCTCTTCTTCGTCATCGGATATGTTGCCTCGCTTGATACCGGGCCTCAGGTAGTTGAGCCACCGCAGCCGGCAGCTCTTTCCACAGCGCTTTAAGCCTGGCAAATTTGCGTTCATGAGAGAGAGAGAGAGAGAGAGAGAGAGAGAGAGAGAAGAGTGTGTTGTTGTGTGCACGTCGACAGGCTATTAGTTGGAAGCAACACATCAATTCTATCCCAGTCTAGCATAGAAGTGCACCTGCTCGTTTGGGGAGGCTCCTCCATTTACCGTCTCCATGAACCTTGATGTAGGACACAAGTACGTGGTCTTCCTGCGCAGTCCACGCTCCTGTCCTGAGCCCTTCCCTTACGCAGCATGGCTTCCTTCCCATCTCTCTCTCTCTC